TAAACATGCTCAATGGGTGACATACCTGGTGAGTATTCAGGCCATGGAAAAACTGGGATAAAATGCAATTGTGTTCGTTGTTCGTAGCTTATGCCTGCCCATACCATAACCCCACCGCCACCATGGGGCACTCTGTTCAAAACGTTGACATCAGCAAACCGCTTGCCTACACGATGCCATACACGCTGTCTGCCATCTACCCGGTAGAGTTGAATCCGGGATTTGTGGATCTGTGAAAAGCACACTTCTCCAGCGTGCCGGTGGCCATCGAAGGTGAGCATTCTCCCACTGAAGTCGGTTACGACGCCAAACTGCAGTCAGGTCAACGCCCTGGTGAGGACGACGAGCATGCAGATGAGCTTCCCTGAGACAGTTTCTGACAGTTTGTCCCGAAATTCTTCAGTTGTACAAACCCACAGTTTCATCAGCTGTCCGGATGACTGGTCTCAGACGATCCCGCAGGTGAAGACACCAGATGTGGAGGTCCAGGGCTGGCCTGGTTACACGTGGTCTGCGGTTGTGAGGCCGGTTGGACGTACTGCCAAAATCTCTAAAACGACGTTGGAGGTGGTTTATGGAAAGAAATCAACATTAATTTATCTGGCAACAGCTCTGGTGGACATTCCTGCAGTCAGCATGCCAAACACTCCCTCAAAACATGTGGCATTGTGTTGTGTGATAAAACTGCACATTTTAGAGTGGCCTTTTATTGTCCCTCAGCTTCTTGATATGCCACACCTGTCAGGTGAATGGATTATCATGGCAAAGTAAAAATGGTCACTAACAGGGATGTAAACAAATTTGTTGAAAGTGAAAACAGGTTTTTAGAAATTGTCCTAATTTATTAAACATTAAAAACAGAAATACCTTATTTACATAAGTATTCAGACCCTTTGCTATGAGACTCGAAATTGAGCTCAGGTGCATCCTGTTTCCATTGATCATCCTTGAGATGTTTCTACAATTTGATTGGAGTCCAGCTCTGGTAAATTCAATTGATTGGACATGATTTGGAAAGGCACACACCTGTCTATTTAAGGTCCCACAGTTGACAGTGCATGTCAGAGCCTTGAGGTCTAAGGAATTGTCCGTAGAGCTCTGAGATAGGATTGTGTTGAGGCACAGATCTGGGGAAGGGTACCAAAAAATTTCTGCAGCATTGAAGGTCCCCAAGAACACAGTGGCCTCCATCATTCTTAAATGGAAGAAGTTTGGAACCACCAAGACTCTTCCTAGAGCTGGCCACCTGGCCAAACTGAACAATTGGGGGAGAAGGGCCTTGGTCAGGGAGGTGACCAAGAACCCGATGGCCATTCTGACAGAACTCCAGAGTTCCTCTGTGGAGATGGGAGAACCTTCCAGAAGGACAACCATCTCTGCAGCACTCCACCAATCAGGCCTTTATGATAGAGTGGCCAGATGGAAGCCACTCCTCAGTAAAAGGCACATGACAGCCTGCTTGGAGTTTGCCAAAAGGCACCTAAAGACTCTCAGACCAAGAGAAACAGGATTCTCCGGTTTGATGAAACCAAGATTGAACTCTTTGGCCTGAATGCCAAGCGTCACGTCTGGAGGAAACCTGGCACCATCCCTACAGTGAAGCATGGTGGTGGCAGCATCATGCTGTGGGGATGTTTTTCAGTGGCAGGGACTGGGAGACTAGTCAGGATCGAGGCAAAGATGAACGGAGCAAAGTACAGAGAGATCCTTAATGAAAACCTGCTCCAGAACACTCAGGACCTCAGACTGGGGCGAAGGTTCACCTTCCAACAGGACAACGACCCAAAGCACAGAGCCAAGACAACGCAGGAGTGGCTTCGGGACAAGTCTCTGAATGTCCTAGTGGCCAAGCCAGAGCCCGGACTTGAACCCGATCGAACATCTCTGGAGCGACCTGAAAATAGTGTGCAGCAACTCTCCCCATCCAACCTGACAGAGCTTGAGTGGATCTGCAGAGAAGAATGGGATAAACTCCCCAAATACAGGTGTGCCAAGACTCAAGGCTGTAATCGCTGCGAAAAGGTGCTTCAACAAAGTACTGAGTAAAGGGTCTGAATACTTATGTAAATGTAATATTTCCGGTTTTTATTTTTAATACATTTGCAAAAATGTATAGAAACCAGTTTTTGCGTTGTCTTTATGGGGTGTTGTGTGTAGATTGATGAGGGGTGGGAAAAACAATGTAATTAATTTTAGAATAAGCGTGTAACCTAACAAAATGTGGATAAAGTCAAGGGGTCTGAATACTTTCCTTTGTATAAATGTGAAGCATCCCTTTGGCCGACATTCTGCTAATTTTCTCATGATGAAACATTTGATCTCCATACAGTTTTCTGTTTCCAAAACTAGAATCTGTAACAAATAGAGTGGACTGCGTTTTGTAGACTTTACCCTTTACCAAAGTTTCAAAAAAATTGCGTTGTTTAGAAGGAGTGCAAGGGTGAATTGAGTTATTGCACATGCACACTTCACAGAGCAGGCGTTCCTTAACGGAAATATGCAAATTGATGCTAGAACGCGCCAATAGGATCTCACTATCTCGTGCTTGGCTCTGCCCACCTCCTTGCTTGTTCTGCCCACTATGATTCATTTGCTCCCATTGGATGCGACAAGCTCTGGTCTATCTTGGTTAGTTATAAAACATATTTGATAAAGCTATCTGCTCCTGCTAGCTAGCAACATATCTACTTGTTGTAACTATATAGGTAGCTAACTAGCAAGCTAGCTACATTACTAAGATTGTTGTGTTCTAAGTTGGGAGTCATTTTACAGCTTGCATTGATGGTATTTTACATTCTATAACTAAATAGTAGGGTGTCCAATTAAAAACGCATATTTTGACCAATGGGTTAAATAATATGTTAATTGTGTAGCTACTCCTCTAACAAAACCAATGGTCCAAACCTCATGTCTCTAATCAGTTCAAACGTTATTGGAGTTTTTACCCTTGTAGGATGGCCAAGATTAGGGTGACTAAATCAATGGAGGCCAGAGAAAAAAAAGTGGTCCAAAATCAGGAAAATAGCATTGGGTCAGTTAGGCTGGATGCTGTGCGAGAATTAAGGCAAACTGACAGGCTCACCATTGAACTCATCTTTCTTCTCGAATCCGGAGGACATAAAACAATATAGAGGTAAGAGACCGATATCGATTTTGAGACATGACATGTTGTGTTTTTATATTTTAATATAAGTTTTTCATATTAATGCGAATTCCATAGTTTTTTCTCAGAAAAACAAGTGTATCTCTGTGAAATATCTACGGAGCACTGAGCGTACCACAAGCTTTTTATATTGAATTCAGCTAATGTCATGTTAATTTTGCTTTTTGCGACCTGCGGAAACAACTTTGCAGAAGACCACAACATGTAAAATGGTCAGCGCAAACACGGATGCTTGGGAATTCGCTACCCTAACCTTAACCCTTGCCTAACCGTTACCTTAACCATTTTAAATTTCAACTTCAAAGGAGGTAGAGATGTCCCAAGGATAGCACCCGCCCATGTAAAATTGTCAAAAGTCGCACCGCTCTGTCAACAGAGCTCGGTGCATATTATCGGATGTATTAGGTTATGAAATTTGAGTTTTTTAAATTATATAAATGTTAATGATATGTTAGAGAAAGACCCCACTGAATGATTCAGAACATGAAGAATCATTTGTCTTGGTAAAATCTATTTTGAAACATAAGTGAAATTTCATCACCAAAGCGCGTTTTCACCCACTCAGGTCATAGTGTCTGTCTTTGATTCCTTAAAGCGGCAATCAGTAGTTAAAAGAATAAAGCGTTTCCACACCACTGTTTCGGTAAAAGCTGGGGGTTTAGAGAAATATAAACCAATCACAAATTCAAAGACCGAACTATGGATCCAAGGACTGACCACCCATGATATCAAAATGATAGTTTTAACCATGTTTTTAGGCTATACAGACAGTTGGTTTAGATTTACAAACATTGGATTAAAACAATCTTATATTTTAGGTTCTGAAGGGGTACGAAAGTTGCACTAAGCTCATGATCCATTTATAAGTTATATTCTTCAAGAATCAATGGGTACAAATCATTCATTTATAAATCCAAAAATGTATGTAGCATCTGCTGATTGCCCCTTTAATTGTACTAGATTGTGAAATGCCGCGCTGAGAATGCGCTTCTACAGCACTTTGAATGCCACTACTATGCGCTAGCTAGCGGCTGTGGATGTAGCTAGGCATATCATTAGTAATTTAATAGGATCTCTATGTAGCTATCTTTCTTATCCATCAAAGTGTTAGCTACATATACCAATCTCTTGAATAGACATATAGACAGCTTTTAGTAGCCCTCCGTTAATTGAGTGATGCCAGGTTAGATTGCAGCCAGTAACATGCCCGAATCCAAAAGTTGGAGCAGGCTAGCTAGCTAACTAACTAAAATATGGGGTTGTGGGGTTTTTCAGCAATCAAGACAGGGCAGTTTTGTAATATTCCATTCACAGGTGGAAACTATGTATGTTTATTAATGTTACAAAGGTGAGTGTCTATCATACGATTCTTGTTATTAGGTAATTGGTGTGAACTAGTGGCTTGCTAGATAGCTAGCTGTGAGGGCTTGTCCGCTTGCTAGCTAGCATGATGCTAATGCTACTTTGACAGTTAGCTAGGCTGAGGCTGTCTCTGTGAGTTATTGGAAGGGTTAATTTGCAGTCAAAAATACAAATATTTGTATAAGATAGCTTTTGAAGGAAGCTTGTCGGCGCCGACATTTTGTTGTTCCTACTTATTCTCCAGGTTAGTTAACGTTAGCTGCTAAGTGTAACTGCAGCTGTCGTGGTGGCCTGTGCAATATCTGTCCACTTCACTCTGTTCTGGATGCCGTGTGCCCTTATATAGCCCCGAGACAATGTTATCTGTCTAAGGTCACAGTTAATTTCAGTTCATTAAATGTTTGAAGTAGTCATATTTTACTCTCTCTGACAGACAAACTGACATACTTCATTGCCCCCCACTACCACCACCAGGTTACACAGTTCGAGAAACATGGTGCCTTTGGATAAGTGAAGTAGCGAGACGGGGCACGAAAACCAGTGTGGACAGGCTGCCTCCAAAGACAGTACTCTGTTGCACTGGTTGCAGCTACAGTCTGAAGCTGGAACAGTGGTGGACCCACCCAGGCTCAGAAGTGGCTGACCACAGCCCATTCAGGCACTGTGCTGGCTGGTCTCCGAACAGAACAGGGAAGGAAGACCCTTAGGAGGTGGATGTAAAGGGGCTGGTGGAGTCTCTGTGGACATTCTCCTACTGAAATGTCAATCAGAAGAGCCGAAAGGATGTCCATCGCCCAGGCCTTGGCCATGACTGTGGCTGAAATCCCCATGTTTCTTTACTCCACCTTTGGGCAGGTAAACAACATCCCCAAGACGACACTTTCAAGTAAAGTATGGAATATGTCTAAGAGTATGTGTGTAAGAATCTGTTCCAAAAAAACGAATGCATACAAAGCTTATTTCCACACAAATATGATGTTTGACTCACAGAAGATACACATTTGATACAGTGATTAGGCCTGTTGTGATCTCTCACCCTCACTCTTTTCTCTGTCAGTCCATATTCTCTCAGCTGAAGCTCTCTCCAAGTCTGAAGAAGGTGCTGTTTGCCACGGCTCTGGGGAGCGTAGCCCTGGCCCTCACCGCCCATCACATGAAGAGGCGAGGGAGGAAACAGAAACAGGCAAAAGTTGAGCCGAAGCAGGTGGGAATACCAGAGGTGTTGCTCCGGTTGGGGAGGCCGTCATCCCTTAAGAGAGGTGAGTTTTGCATCAATGTGATTGCTGGTGATTTTAATCAGGCTGTGAAACTGGCTCATGATTTGTTGATGTGTTTGTTAGATAGCTGGATGATTTGCTGATTTAACCTCAAGGAGTAAAAGGGATTAAGTCAAGTGATTGGCTCATTGACAGGCTGGTGTTTGAATAAGGCTGTGTGGATACATTATGTGAAAGCTGTTTCAGTATAATCATGATGAGAATACCAGTTGCAAGTGATCCAAATGACTTGTTGATAGAAGTGTTAGCTAACAGCCTTGTTTCCATCCCAGGTGGTCCGATTCCTGGGCGACAGATGACGAGCCCCAGCACGCGGAGTAATGACACCATGAGCAGCATCTCCTCTCTGGCCCCCAGCAAACACTCAAGATCCTCCCACAGCATAGCTTCCGTACGTTTGACTCATTACTTTCTTTCGATCACTCTTTCTTGTCCCTGATTTCTCTCCTCCTCTTTCTTAGTGTATTCTTTACCTCAGGCTACTCTTTTTAGACCATCATGGTGCAGGTTATATTTAAGCAATAAGGCACGAGGAAGTGTGGTAGATGGCCAATAAGGCCCTTATGGCTTAAACTCACCCAAGGTGAGCATGCGAGTCATGTGTGATTTATTTTAGAATGCATTGTTTTGAATTATAATGACCCAACCGGGGTCATTGGGGTCAGTGGGTTGTCCACTTTTACTCCTCGCTCAATTAGAACGTGTCTCTATTTTTGCGTTTTATCGCTGGCGCTGTAGTCACACAAAACAATAACATTTTTGTTATTATTCACTTTTCTTTTCAAGCTCATTTGAATTGGAAGAGCTAAGAGTTGAGGCTTTACTATACATGCTAAATTATACCAATTCATCCACTTATGGAAACATCGCTATCAGCAAAGATGATTGGAGATATGGACTATCCTGCTAGCACGCAGTCACTGCTCTGCCCGTCCCATCCTTTCCACCCGCCTTGCTCTGCCCAACCGCTTCTGGTGAGTTTTTCGCTTTAGCATAGGTATATTGGCCATATACCACAAACCCACGAGGTGCCTTTTGTTATTATAAACTGGTTACCAACATAATTACGATAAAGGCGAAAGAAACGCACACCTATTTAGGTGAGGTGCTGGCTGACGGCGTAAAACACTTCAAAAAGAAAAGGAAAGCCGCACACTCTAGGAGCTCAGATGCAATAATTTCATATCTTAATAACCAACGTTTCGACAGACAAGCTGTCTTCATCAGGGTATACCAACATAATTACAACAGTAAACAAGTAATTGTTTGTCATACCCGTGGTATATTGTCTGATATACCGCGGCTTTCAGACAATCAGCATCCAGGACCCAAACTATCCTGTTTTATAATATACATTAATGGCGATCAGTTTAGGTCAGGGGTGGGTAATCTTTTTTGGCTCGAGGACCACATCGGGATTTCGAAATTCAACGGTGGGCTGCACAGATCTGTTTCTTAAAATCAAATTGCGGGCCCGAAAAAGGTCAGTTACTAGAAAATATATAGGTCCATTATAATTTCTACATACTTTCTATCTACTTTTAAATGTTAAAGTGTGGCCTGAGTGTGTATTATTTTTTATATTTTTTTATAACCCAAAATCAGAATTTCCCCACTTTATTTTGAATCGTAAATTTTTTTTTTTACTCAAACCTCCCACGTGCCGGATTGAATGGGCTCCGGCCTGCGGGCCGTAGTTTGCCCACCCCTGGTTTAGGTTGTCAATGGCAGTTTTTTGTGTCACAGATGAGAGTCCTGCCTTCTCCGAATCAGTCGGCCAATCCCTCGACTCCCTGGGAGGCAGAGCCTGTGGAGGAGGAGCCAGGAGCCATGGAGGACGCAAATGCAGAGAACCTCTACATCATTGGTAATTGCCCTTATGAATCCCCTCATATGGCCTCCCGAGTGGCGCAGCTGTCTAAGGCACTGCATCGCAGTGCTATTGGCGTCACTTCAGATCCGGGTTCGATCCCTGGCTGTGTCGCAGACGGCAGCGACCGGGAGACCCATGAGGCGACGCACAATTGGCCCAGCGTCGTCTGGGTTAGGGGAGGGTTTGGCCGGCTGGGATGTCCTTGTCCCATCGCGCTCTAGAGACTCCTTGTGGCGGCCAGGCGCATGCATGCTGACTTGGGTCGCCAGCTGTACAGTGTTTCCTCCGACACATTGGTGCGGCTGGCTTCCGGGTTAAGCGTGCAGTGTTTCAAGAAGCAGTGCGGCTTGGCGGGGTCGTGTTTCGGAGGACCTCGCCAAGCTCACGACCTTCTCCTCTCCCGAGTCCGTACGGGAGTTGCAGCGATGGGATAAGACTAACTACCAATTGGATATCACGAAATTGGGGAGAAAAAGGGGTAAAAATACCAACAACAAAAAAAAAATATATAAATAATTATAACAAATAAAAAATAAATCCCCTCATATTGATGCAGTAAAGAGGACAGACAATATGCAACTGAGACAGAGTTTTTGATGTGCTTTTTAATGAGGAAAAGTATTTACCAAAATTGAATTAGTTACTTATTTCCCATTCAGAAGAACTGTGCAAGGACCTTTGAGTAGAAGGAGAGTTGGACATTGACATAGAGGGTTATGCCTGACTATACTGTATGTCCTGCACTGTTTGTCTTGGTCTTTTCATTGATACAGGATAAAGACATTTCTGTAATTCAGCTAGTCTGTTATCTTTCCTCAGCAACCAAATGTCTGGGAGGCCTCCCAGTCCTTCGATGGTATTTCTAAACCACCCGACAGATTATCATCACCCATCCTTGCATTTTACGATGCATTCATGCTCCCAACCACTGCCATTAATTTGTGGCTGCGTTCCAATAATATTATGCCTACTATTTTCCTCTAAGTGTGCACTTGCGCTCTCTCTTTCCTTAAAAACACTGGATGTTGATGTTAGCATGGGTTCCCACCACATTGCTTACACTATTCAATTATTTTTTTACATCCATGAGCGAGAGTGAGCAGGCGAGTTGCACACTCTGGGGGAAAAGGGTAAGGAATGATAATAAGGTCCCCTGTCTTCCCTTCCCCCTCTCAGGAATGCCACTCTTCCTGATCAATCAGTACTTCCTGCTTTTCCAACATTAATCCTCCCTCCATTCATATATATATATATATATATATATATATATATATATATATATATATAATTGAAACTGACCTAGCCCCTAGCCAAAATCGTGCTTTTCTTGATTTTTCTATGCTATCCTGATCACGTCCTCATCTCCCCCAGGCATGGAGCTGTTTGAGGAGGCCCTCCAGAAGTGGGAGCAGGCCCTCAACATCCGCCACCGCTCTCACTCCAGTGCTTCCAACGCCAGTACGAGCCTGGCCCTGGAGGGGGAGACGGCTTGCCCCGACCTGCCCACGGTACGCCACAGAACTATCTCACACTCAACGGTACGCTACACTTTTATTTTTCTGTATTTAATTTAATTTATCCTTTATTTAACCAGGTTAGTCCCATTCAGATATGAATCTCTTTCTCAATGGAGCCGTGGCCTAGAGGAAGCCACACTCTCACAAATCCATCAAAGATTACATTAAAAGTATCCTCCGATTTCTCACTCCACCAGCCTCCATTGCCTTAACGATTCAGAGAAAGGATGATGGGCAACACCGGTCCTGGAGGGCCACTGTGATTTGAATTATTCAACTAATGTAGTGATTTTTGTTTGTTTTCATGGTTTCATTCCGATTCGCGTAACAAGGTCTTTGCCGAGAAGCTGGAGACCCTTCTGCACCGGGCCTACCACCTACAGGAGGACTTCAGCACCAACATTCCCCCAGATAGCCTGCTAGCAGACTTTGGTAATTAGAATGCTATGCAAATCTGTTGACTTGTTGACGGTAGCTTTAGCATTAGCTATTAGAATGCTGCTAACATGAATCTATTTATTTTCTGCGTAGACAGTATCTTTAGCATTCAGCCATAATGGGTAATGTAGCTGGTGTAGTCCTTGTGTTGTGGCTCAGACTGTTTGCTTCGTTGTCCTGCCAGAGAGTGAGGGAACGCTCATTCTGCCAAACTTGGCGAGTAGAATGTGTGAAGACGACACCACTACGATCACTTCGGACGATTCCTTCTTCTCAGCGGCAGAGGTTGGTTTCTCTTTCTTTCTCCATCTCTCTTTCACTCAGCATCTCTCACGCACGTATTCTCTCTCCCCCCTCACTCAAACTCACACACACTTCCTTTCTCCCATACACTCACAGTCCATCTGCCAGACTCACACTTTTCTCCCTCACACACCCCTACTCCCTATCTGACACACACATACACCACTACTCTAGTCTCATGTATCCTATGTATCCTCATGACTATCATGTATCCTATGATATGAACATGTGTGCTAAGGAATGTGCCTCTCCATCTATTTTCCTCTGTGCAGCTGTTTGACCAGCTATCTCTGGATGAGGTGTACCAGCCTCTGAGGCCCGCTGCTCTCTACGACGAGGCCGTGTCACTAGTCCAGGACGGCAGTGTGCCCTGTCGAGCGCTCCGGTAAGTGCTAGCTAAGTACTAGACCTGGGTTGAAAAATTATTTAATTAAAGTGATAGATTTGGAGAGGGTTTGGGGTTTGTACTTTTGGGACTATTCCATAGCTTCCATTGGGCCAAAGGCAAGATCAATCGAGCACAAATACTATTTGAGTGCTGTTACTCACATCTAGGGCTGTTGCGGTGACCGTATTACCGCCACACCGGCGGTCACGAGTCACGAAGTCATGAATTCCACGTGACCGTTTAGTCATGGTAATTAGGCTTCTCCAAGCTAATGGTCATTAGTAGCCTACCAAACTTGCTAACTGCCTGGTACTCAGCAATCTATTGTCCCTCTAATCACTCTGACATCAATGCAAATGTAATCGAAAATCTAATCAAACACTTCATGAGAGCCCATGAGCTCATGTTGCACAACATTTCTATAGGCTATGCAATTGCGTGAGAAAACAGAGTGATGGCTTCTATTAAAAAGAGGATCCCATCAGCTTTCTATAGGCTAGGCCTACTATATTTATTTCTCAACTTTCCTAATATTAAGCACATTGCTTGTCTTTACAACATGAGTATAGCCTACCTGGCTGGTATGAAAATGAACCACAGGAAAAGCGTCCTCCATTCGCTATTTAAGTGCATAGACAACATGTATTTTTTCCCGCTGCCCCTGTTTCGAGACAGGTGCATGATAATGGTCCATTCTAAATCAAAACAAATTTCACACATACATTATTTAGTATATGTAAAGACAAGATTAAATCAAGAATAGTCTGATGGGTGACAATATTAGCCTATCACTTGTGAATTATATATTATCACTTTTGAATGATGCCCAGCATAAGAAACTGCCTTTTTTTTGCAACTTTTTCGGATCATAGTTGCACACCTCATGTAGCCTAGCCCATAGGCCTATATGTTTTTATAAGGTTTGTATCACAACTAAAGTGGCCAAATAACTTCTTAACATTAAGCACATTAATCCGCTTTACAATGGGTTTAGAGCCTAACTGGCATACATAAGCAGCACGTGAGTTTCAAGGTTGGGGAAGATAATTTTCTCTAAAAATGCACCTTCATAAAAAAGCATTACATGCATAATCGCATTTGCGGTCACTTTTGATAATGGTGTTTTCCCGCTAATGGAACGTTCGCGCTTATAGCCTACTGCCATGTGCGCATTGCTGTGCTTATAATGTGAAGAAATAGCCTAATAGTTTATCAACATTTTAAGCTAAACGTTCTGATCTGTTGTGTCAGCCACATTGCGTAAAAAAGTGTTTTTTGATGATAGTGGTTGTATTAATTTGGGATTAATTGCACCCCACAACTGTCCCAGACTATGTTTGGAATATTTTCTTGCGCAGAATAGACTAGGTCGACTTTTGTGCTATGGGGGATAGTAGATTGACATAGTCTAGAGCTTTTGCTGTTCGTTAGGCCTACTCATCTTGTTGGCTGACGAATAGTAAATGTGGACAGTCCTTCCAATATCTTCAATATGCACCTTGGAATTGGATAAGGACACGCGCAGTTGCGTCCCCGATGTGTCTGTCTTCACTTGTAGCCTGTGAGAAAGACCCGATCACGTGACTGAGAGCCATGTAAGTGAGAGGCGCTTCGGATTGCGCAGCACGCTCAGGGACAAGGGCACAACGCAGCACTCCGGGCCGCAAAAGGCATGGATTTTTTTTAGGGTGCATTACGGCCACAAAAGGGATGCCGCCGTGGAAGTCGCGGCATTATCAAGTGCTTTTTCAAATTGTGAATGAGAGACTGATGAAGTATGTACAGCCTGCGCAAAAAACTAAGCAGAGCTCATGCCTTTTCAAGCGACTTTTTTCAAATCATCATTAGTCGCATCATGCAGCCTTAAAATGTATTTAAAATCTAAACATATAGCCCAACGTTTGTAGAACAACTAATGTTACATAAATAACTCTAAATTAAGCATATAGGAGTACCTATTTCTTTGTTAACCGCTCAACACAGAATAGCCGCATGTGCGCACTCCCTCAAATCGTTCGGAGAAAATATTTATATTTTATTCAGCTTTGTTCAATTGTATTCTTCATACTATAAAATCATGCCATGGAATTATAAGCAAATCTTGTCTGCTAAATGAACTAGTGTAGCCCACAGCCATATGGCATAGCCACATCAGGACCTAACATAAGGACAACTCTTATTTTCATGCTTCTTTAGACCTGTCTAAAATAAATAATGAATTTATTGTGAAGGTGTAGGCTATATTACATGGATTTATTAGACTTTTTAAAATGGCTTGTAGGCTATGTGTGGAAGCTAGGAGATACTAAATGTGTTTGTTAATTAACGGTCAATTACCGTGAGACCGACAGTTATTTGCTTGACAATCACCGGCTGACACAATTTCGTGACCGCCACATCCCTACTCATAACCATATATTTCCGACATAAAACTAAATGATGTCTATTCCCGTTTCATATTCTCATCTTTCCCCCTTCTCCGTCCCTCAGAACTGAGCTGCTAGAATGCTACGGTGACCAGGACTTCCTAGCCAAGCTCCATTGTGTGAGACAAGCCTTCCAGGTCTGAAATACTTACTGAAGATGATTTATTGGTATTTATAAACTGGGTGGTTCGAGCCCTGAACGCTGATTTGTTGAAAGCCATGGTATATCAGATCGTATACCATGGGTATGACCCCAAAAAATATTTTTTACTGTGCTAATTACGTTGGTAACCAGTTTATAATAGCAATAAGGCACCTCTTGGGTTTGTGGTATATGGCCAATATACCATGGTTAAGGGCTGTATCCAGGCACTCCGCGTTGTGCATAAGAACAGCCCTTATACGTGGTATATTGGCCATATACCACACCCCCTCGTGCCTTATTGATTATATAGACAATGTCACTGTGGATTTGATGTGACCAAGATGGGTCTTTGCTGAAGTCCGCAGTGCTCAGTTGTTGTTGTTTTCGACAGGTTCTGTTGCTAGACAAAACTCACCGGACGTTCTTCATGGAGACCGGCAAGCAGATGATCACAGGACTCATGACCAAGGCAAACAAGGTGACAACACTCACCTATATCCGTACCGATACATACAATACGTGACCAAAAGTATGTGGACACATGCTTGTCGAACATATCATTCCAAAATCATGGGCATTAATATGGAGTTGGTCCCCCCTTTGCTGCTATAACAGCCTCCACTCTTCTGGGAAGGCTTTCCACTAGATGGACTAGAAAATTCCTGCGGGGACTTCCTTCCATTCTGCCACGAGCATTAGTGAGGTTGGGCACTGATGTTGGACGATTAGGCCTGGCTCGCAGTCGGCGTGCCAATTCATCCCAAAGGTGTTTGATGGGGTTGAGGTCAGGGCTCTGTGCAGGCCAGTCAAGTTCTTCCACACCAATCTCGACAAACGTTTTCTGTATGGACCGCACTTTGTGCACGGGGGCATTGTCATGCTGAAACAAAAGGGCCTTCCCCAAACTGTTGCCACGAAGTTGGAAGCACAGAATCGTCTAGAATGTAATTATATGCTATAGCGTTAAGATTTACCTTCACTGGAACTAAGGGGCCTAGACCGAACCATGAAAAACAGCCCGAGACCATTATTCCTCCTCCACTAAATTTTACAGTTGGCACTATGCATTCGGGTAGGTAGCATTTTCCTGGCATCCGTCAAACCCACATTTGTCCGTCGGACTGCGAGATGGTGAAGCGTGATTCATCACTCCAGAGAACGCGTTTCCACTGCTCTAGAGTCCAATAGCGCTGAGCTTTACACCACTCCAGCCAACTCTTGGAGTTGCGCATGGTGATCTTAGGCTTGTGTGTGGCTGCTCGGCCATGGAAACCCATTTCATGAAGCTCCCGACTAACAGTTATTTTGCTGACGTTGCTTCCAGAGGGAGTTTGGAACACGGTAGTGGATGTTGCAACCGAGGACAGATGATTTTTACGCGCTTCATTACTCGACGGTCCCATTCTGTGAGCTTGTGTTGCATACCACTTCGCAGCTGAGCTGTTGTTGCTCCTAGACGTTTCCACTTCATAATAACAGCACTTACAGTTGACCGGGGCAGCTATAGCAGGGCAGAAAGTTGACATTGTTGGAAAGGTGGCATCCTATGACGGTGCCATGTTAAAAGTCACTGAGCTCTTCAGTAAGGCCATTCCACTGCCAATGTTTGTCTATGGAGATTGCATGGCAGTGTGTTAAAAACATTTTTTTACACCTGTCAGCAACGGGTGAGGCTGAAATAGCCGAAGCCACTAATTTGAAGGGGTGTCCACATACGTTTGTATATACAGTGGGGAGAACAAGTATTTGATACACTGCCGATTTTGCAGGTTTTCCTACTTACAAAGCATGTAGAGGTCTATAATTTTTTATCATAGGTACACTTCAACTGTGAGAGACGGAATCTAAAACAAAAATCCAGAAAATCACATTGTATGATTTTTAAGTAATTAATTTGCATTTTATTGCATGACATAAGTATTTGATACATCAGAAAAGTAGAACTTAATATTTGGTACAGAAACCTTTGTTTGCAATTACAGAGATCATACGTTTCCTGTAGGTCTTGACCAGGTTTGCACACACTGCAGCAGGGATTTTGGCCCACTCCTCCATACAGACCTTCTGGCCCACTCCTCCATACAGACCTTCTCCAGATCCTTCAGGTTTCGGGGCTGTCGCTGGGCAATACAGACTTTCAGCTCCCTCCAAAGATTTTCTATTGGGTTCAGGTCTGGAGACTGGCTAGGCCACTCCAGGACCTTGAGATGCTTCTTACGGAGCCACTCCTTAGTTGCCCTGGCTGTGTGTTTCGGGTCGTTGTCATGCTGGAAGACCCAGCCACGACCCATCTTCAACGCTCTTACTGAGGAAAGGGCCAAGATCTCGCGATACATGGCCCCATCCATCCTCCCCTCAATACGGTGCAGTCGTCCTGTCCCCTTTTGCAGAAAAGCATCCCCAAAGAATGATGTTTCCACCTCCATGCTTCACGGTTGGGATGGTGTTCTTGGGGTTGTACTCCTCCTTCTTCTTCCTCCAAACACGGCGAGTGGAGTTTAGACCAAAAAGCTATATTTTTGTCTCATCAGACCACATTACCTTCTCCCATTCCTCCTCTGGATCATCCAGATGGTCATTGGCAAACTTCAGACGGGCCTGGACATGCACTGGCTTGAGCAGGGGGACCTTGCGTGCGCTGCAGGATTTTAATCCATGACGGTGTAGTGTGTTACTAATGGTTTTCTTTGAGACTGTGGTCCCAGCTCTCTTCAGGTCATTGACCAGGTCCTGCCGTGTAGTTCTGGGCTGATCCCTCACCTTCCTCATGATCATTGATGCCCCACGAGGTGAGATCTTGCATGGAGCCCCAGACCGAGGGTGATGGACCGTCATCTTGAACTTCTTCCATTTTCTAATAATTGCGCCAACAGTTGTTGCCTTCTCACCAAGCTGCTTGCCTATTGTCCTGTAGCCCATCCCAGCCTTGTGCAGGTCTACAATTTTATCCCTGATGTCCTTACACAGCTCTCTGGTCTTGGCCATTGTGGAGCGGTTGGAGTCTGTTTGATTGAGTGTGTGGACAGGTGTCTTTTTATACAGGTAACGAGTTCAAACAAGTGCAGTTAATACAGGTAATGAGTGGAGAACAGGAGGGCTTCTTAAAGAAAAACTAACAGGTCTGTGAGAGCTGAAATTCTTACTGGTTGGTAGGTGATCAAATACTTATGTCATGCAATAAAATGCAAATTAATTAAAAATCATACAATGTGATTTTCTGGATTCCGTCTCTCACAGTTGAAGTGTACCTATGACAAAAATTACAGACCTCTACATGCTTTGTAAGTAGGAAAACCTGCAAAATCGGCAGTGTATCAAATACTTGTTCTCCCCACTGTATAGTGTATATGACCTATATCCTCACCCCAACAACCCTGTATCTTCACTAACAGTCTATCTCTCTGAACATGTTTGTTACTTTTTAACACACTGTCTCGAGTTGTATCTTCATTGTTTTGTTCCTCTTTGTTCCCTGTAGAGTCCAAAAGCCTTCCTGGAAGCGTATGAGGACATGCTTCTCTACACCCAGAGAGAGGAGACCTGGCTGGTCAGCAAGATGGAGCTAGAGGGACGAGGGGTGAGATATTTTTCCTATTTATTTCCCTGTTTTCTCTTTTTTGAACCTTCTCTCTTCAAACATAAATGGAAGTGTCTAGAAATTCGAGTGATTCTTTCATAAGATAATTATAGCTAGAATCAGTGTCTATAAATCGCTCTGAGTAGATTGACTAGTGCGTGACAATTCATGAACTCTCACACTTTACATGTGGTGTAGAGCTGGGCCAGATTCATTGCACACCAAACTACTAAAACAGGGAGGGAGTACCTGAACTTATTTTCTACCAATAAGAAAAGCTTGTTTTGCTATTGTGTGCCTTAATGAATATACGTTGTTTGAAGCTCCTGACCTTGTATGACCTATGACCTCTGCCAGGTGGTGGTAATGAACTTCTTTGACATCGTGCTGGACTTCATCCTGATGGATGCCTTCGAGGACCTAGAGAGCCCACCCTCGTCGGTGGTGGCCGTGCTGAGGAACCGCTGGCTCTCCGACAGCTTCAAGGAGACAGTGAGACCACACACACAGAATCTCTCTCACACACACTGAAAAACACACACACACTCCTATAGTCATCATGCTATATTGATTCTAGCAGGCTCAATAACAACTGTAATATAAACATAACACATAATTACACAGGCTGACATGCTGGACAACAGGGTCTATTGCATTCACTTCAACTATACCATTGGTGAAAATATCCTGAAATGTAATAAATCATGCATTGTGTTTGTGTGTGTGTGTGTGTGTGTGTGTGTTTGTCAGGCCCTGGCTACTGCGTGCTGGTCCGTTCTGAAGGCCAAGAGGCGTCTGCTGATGGTTCCAGATGGCTTCATCTCCCACTTCTACGCCATATCAGAACACGTGAGCCCTGTCCTGGCCTTTGGCTTCCTCGGTCCCAGACAGCACCTCAGTGAAGTGTGCACCATCTTCAAGGTGGGAGTTTTAATCTGGACTTTTCCCCCTGACCTTTTGTCCCTGACCTTTTGTCCCTGATTTATCTACTACTAGTATTTAGAGGTCACACGTCACTTCTTTGTTTTATATTTTCATTTACTCTTCTTTTACTCATGATTTTGCAAAGAATGTCATGTTTGTGCTTTGTTTGTCTGTCTGTCCTGGTGTTACCTTGATTCTTGCATAGAGCTCACCTTAAATAACAAGTTGAATCAAAGTGATGCCTTAATCTCTCAAGTATCGTAATTCCTGTAGACAGTCTACCCAGATTTTCAGGAGTGAAATGCATGTAGAAAACAAGCTTGATTTTTCTTAGAAATAAATTACATCTCATGAGGACATTGCTCACCAATGTACTGAACTCCTGGAAAGACTGTATCGACTGCATATCTCACCCTCTCTTTCTTCCCTCTCTACTACTCCACAGCAACAAATAGTGCAGTACCTGAAGGACATGTTTGACCACGACAAGGTGCGCTTCACCTCAGCCCAGTCTCTGGCCGAGGACCTCCTGAGCCTGTCCCACCGCCGCAGTGACATCCTGCTGGGCTACCTGGGCATCGACAGCCTGCTGGAGCCCAACGGAGCCCTACCCCAAGGAGATGCAGCAGCCGGCCCCGGCCGCTCCAACCACCACTGAGACAAGGGTAGGGAGAAAACATTATAAAAACAGAGTGAAACGGGGAGGTACTAACTGAATTTGTCCAATAAGAACACAGATTTTCATTTTCAGTTGGAAAGTGGTTCGCTACTGTGTGGCCTGATGAGTACGACCCTGTGTCTGACTTAGCTGGAAGGTACTGGACTGGGCTGGTCTAAACCGGACTTCACAGGCGAGATTTAGGAGAGGTGTCATTCACGCGCTTGAACTGCAGCATCACTTGTATTGGACCTTACATAAAAGAGGGACCTCATGATTCCATCTCTCCCCTTACGTTGGATGATCTGAAGTTCGAGATCATTCCATACTAATCCCTTTCTTCCAGTGTGTGATGATCCAACAACCAACCGGCAAGAATATGTTTGTTGTGTCTATGTCATGTATGTACTGTAAGTGTGTATTCTGGGGCAGGGGATCCAAAGCGATCCCCTCTTGACTATCATCCTGACACCCTTAGCCAAAATAACTTGCACTGAGATGTGATGTCATTGTCTGTTGAAGGACCTCCTTGCTTCTGTCTATACTCTGTTTTCCATCCATCAATCGATCATCCATTAACTTAGCGTATTTATTCTGATAGTGCTAGGAGCCTGATTGATGAAACAGTCCCCCATCCAAGAGAACGTGTAATACAAATATTTAATACTGTACTTAAGGTCAGGGGCAGGGCATTGGACTGTTAGACACTTGTGCGTACAGAAAAAGTGCACTGATATCCCCATCTTGTCCTCATACTTACAATATAATGATATTGTCATAGTATCGAGGTACTGTGGTGTAGCAAAGATGCCAAGCAAGGGGATGCAGCCATCCACTGAAATCCTACACTGTAGCATTTACCTCTGTGAAATGTTGAGATGGTCAATTCTGATGATTGTTGCCGAGTTGGGTGTATGAGAGAGAGAGTGAAATCCATCATTCGTATTGTCTGTAATCACTCTTTGTCTGTAAGAAACAGTGATATTGGTATATGCAGCTCAGGGTTTCCATTAGGAAAATGTGGTTCTGGACATTTGACCGGCAGTATTTTAATTTACCTATGTGCATTGGGTGCGTGACCTGGTTATTGCTTCCACCCACGGTGCTCAGAATGACATAAATCACAGTTAGATTATGGTAATTAATCTTAACAGAACATGCAACTCTAGGAAGCAACAGCAAGAGTCCTTCTTACCGCTTTCCGATGCGCACTTTGAAGATGTTAGAATAACTATCCACATTTACTTTTCCTCAGCCAACAGGACGAGTAACGAACAGCAAAATCACTAGCTTAAAATTACTACCATAGTAGAAAAGTTTACCTAGAAATAGCCTATTCCAAACACTCTGGGACAGTTGTGGGACAATAGATCCCAAATTCATACAACCAGTACATCAAAATAACATTGTAATTAATTATAGGTCATATTTTAATAGAAATCTGGAAACACTGGACACTTTAAAGGTTGGGCAAAAACGCACATAATGGCTTTAAACTGTATAACTGATCAATGCACCATCATACCAGGTCATTTAATGGTTCACATTTTTTATGAATAATATATTGGGCTACAGAAGTGTCATTTCTTACTGATCTCTACAGCTTCCGTCCAAAAACAAATCCTGTGAAATGAAGTCGACACATACTGGAGGAGTTACTGGCTAGCTACAGTGTCTAGCTTAGCTAACGAACTATCTACGTCAGTCGCGGTGCGCATGACCAATATGACACCGATGAACCACCAAAGACACACCCCATTTCTGTTCGAAAATTGAGAGAGGAGGAGTTGGACTGTTTTTCGTGGCCAAAGTCGACCGTTAAAGCTAATTTCCTGCAATTCTACAAATGTTGCCATTGTTTATGACGCTTTAATATGCTATTGGGGGGGGGGGGCCAATCGACCGGTTCTGAATATTGGGGGCGATATCCCTCCCCCAATCCCCAATGGCAATTTCACATATGGAAGTCTTTATAAAATAATTGCCTCCACGTTTATAGAAACTGATTTTGGCATGGCTACTTTGAAGCAAGACATGCCTCATAATATGAAGTAAAACGTTAAGGCTTCACACAATGAAGTATGTTTTCAAAATGCTTACTGCCTCCAGCTCACATTGCAAAGTGGTGTGTGACGCGCTGAAGCCTGCCTACCTTTGCCCAAGCGCTTGAAAGGTGAATGGGAAGCACTTCAATTACCAATTGAGAATTTAAAAAATAGTAGCTCTTTTTAATTGTGGCCATCAAAACAGTTAACACGTGTTTGCTATTAGAATTTTTGCACAATGATTGGGCTTATAAAAGCATGTATCACTCCAGCAGCAACAGGAGCTGTAGCAGCAGCTCTTTTGCTGTCTGCCAGATTTTCAGCTGAAACTCTGTATCTGTATGCTGTGCTCGTGTGATAAGAATCATAACGACTAATGAAAATACAAGCGCCAATTTCATTCCACGGAATTATGCAAATTAATCTTTAGACAGATAAGCATGACCGGTCAAATTTAGTTCCATCAACTGGTATTTCCATCAATGAATAGGCAAAAAAGCATTATATTTGCAATGGGATTTTTTTCTTCTGCAGGACAACTGACCGGTGCCAATTTTCAAGCCTAATGGAATGGGAGGATATGTTGCCATTTTCAGACTTTTTGAAAAGGTTAATTTAGCTGTTTTTGAGAAAAGCATTGTGTTTCTGAATTGCTTCCCATTACTAGTATTCCCACATGCCCTCTGCCCTCAACGAAAGACAGGACCTATTCTACTTTACATGTTTGAATTCACAGCTACCTTGTACTGAGCTCTATGCCACACGTTTGGTTGAATAACACTCACATTTTGTTGAAATGGGGATTGACAAGAGTAGATGACAATCTAGGTACGTTAAAATTGCAACGTTTAGTATACGGTTAAGTGTGATCTTGATATATTAAAGATTTCAGTATAATGTAGCTGTATATTCAGAATCAGTGCTTTAGGGGTATCCTATTCGCATGGAATCCAAACAGTGCAATCCAAATCCATATATTGGTGGTGAAACAATTATGAAACGGAGCATATCTGTTTGGTTCCAGGCTAATATCCCATATTTTATGTCAATCTTGAAGCCTAACTTAAAAATACCGACTACTGTATATGGAGCCTTTCTATAACCAGTTTTGTTGTCTTGTTTTTTGGCACATGAAAGACCTCGTTTGTCTTTTTTGCACTTAAAAAAAGAAATATTTAATTGCTCTTCTAACCCAATTTTCTAAATCAAAATTGTTGGATAGCATGGTTGAGGCATAGGTCATTGACTGGTAGGCATTATTGTATAACCATTGTAATATTGGCAGACAATGTATTCAATGTTTATTCTTTTTTTACATGTAATTTGTTGGTCTAAGGGTGCGTTCGTAAATTCACTCTAGCTATCTACTTAGATTTCAGAGCACTCTCGTCTGAGTGTGCCAGAGTGCAGAATAACTGATGAATTTACAAACGTGCAACACATTTTGAATATGACAGGTGTCAGTAAATGTCGCAAAAAAACCTCAGCTAATTAAATTGTTGCCAGCAGCACAGTTACAGTCAGCAACGCTCTAGATAACATGAAAACAGCCTAACCAGCTCTGCTAAGGTGAGTAAAATGGTCAGAGTGAAATGTGTCCTCTCATTTGTGTCTGGAAGTAGCTAGCCAACTTTAGCCAATTAGTTTGGGTGCTTGACTGCCATTGTGAGGTCAGAACGCTCGGATCAACCCTACTCCTCAGCCAGAGCGTCTAGTGTGTGCTCAGATAGCGAAACGCTCTGAATTTAGGAACGGACTAAGACAATGCTCTGAATTTACGAACGCCCAGAGCGCGCTCTGGCTCTACAGAGTGAATTTACGAACACACCATAATTTTTGCTAATTATCCCTCAGACTTAAATTGTAATCAGATATTTCTGTTGGATGACTTACATCAATTGATTGACGAATGAAAACTGTCCTGCCTATTTTAGTCTTCTAAGCTCCAATTACTATCAAATGTATATGATATGAAGTACTGTATGAATCGATCAGTATGTATCACATCCCAATGGGAGATTAATGTAATAGTTATTCATTACTGCTCAGATTCCCAAACGGTGGCCTTTGGGTTGTGAGATTGGTTTCCTTTTATGTTGAACAAACAATAGATGTATTCTCAGAGAATCACACTATCCTCAGCAGCCTTTGCATGTGGATTCTTGTCATACATGAACTGCTGTTTGCTTCTTGTTCATGTGTCCCATCAATCAGCATAGTGTTGGATTGCATTAGATGCCCTGTGACTTCCTTTAATTCATTCCCAATTAATTCCCTTAATTATCAGTAATTGTGTTATCAAAACTAGAAACAATTGAGATCAACACAGAAAATAGCAGATTTAGTGATAACTCTTCACGATTATAACTCCTTAATACTGTTTATTCTGTATGGCTTATACTTCAACCTCAGAATTCAGGTATAGGAACTCTTACAGTATGCTGAGACAGGCTTTGTTTATTCAATCTCTTAACGGTCAGCATTAAGAAACAGTAGGTTTATGATGATTTCAAATGGCCAAAGAGCACAGAGTAAGAAGTCTTCATTTTAAGTATGAAATTACTTGTTGTACACTGTCATATTCTTGCCTTTTTGTTGTCTTTTTGGTTGTGAAATTACAAAGCCAGCACAAACTGTAAACATGTTTTACGTTATTTTTAAAAAATATCTATTTGCCTTTTCCCAATCAGACACAAATGATGACTGTCTGGCTTTTTGCATTGCATTGCCTAAAAGACATTAATCAATATTTCAAGTCAATAGTCAAGTGTGAATGACAATTCTATGATTACATCTACTTTCACATTTCTTTGCTGTAGCCTTTGTACTGTACATGAAAGTATGGGGTCAGACAACTATTTTAGGATAATTAACTAAATACATATGCCTTGGTTGGGTGCGTGTCAAGAACTGAAGGCAACAAAAACCCAACCAAGGCATATGTATTTAGTTATCACCAAATAGTTTTGGGGCAAGAATCACTTCCCATTCACTCATTTATGAAAAAAAACTGTAAAGTCGCTCTGGATAAGAGCATCTGCTAAATGACTAAAATGTAAATTTATGAATAAAACTAATTTTCATATTTCTTTAAGTGACACATGATTGGACAGGGGTGCAACTTTGGTTTTTAGAAGTGGGGGGGGGACATAACTTGGCGGCGGGGGGGGGGGGGGGGGGGGGGCTGGGGATCCTCCCATTTTTGTGGGCATCTAAAGCTCATGACCCACACAACGAAAAGTAAGTAAAAATGCCCACAGTCATCAAGCTAGGTAAGAGATCATTATTAAATATGTTTAAGTGATAAGACTGGACTAAATCAATGATAATTCAATAATGTGTTCCACCTTTAACCAATAGCCTAACAAATGAACAACCCTTACAAATGAAGTACAAATACTTAACTTTTGATTGTCTTTATTAAGACATCCCCTATATTACATTTCAGCCAGACTCCCCAGCCAGCCTGAGCCACCTATACGCCCGACCCCCACCAATATAGTCAATAACTCAACTCTCTCCCCAACACAACTTCCTTCCCATCTTTTTTTTTTATGTCTCAAAGAAAAGGTTTGGAAATCAAAAGTTGAATAAAAACACACACATATACCTCCTACACATTAACACACAGAAACAGTACATCCTCCATATAATTAATATCAAAGGCCTATTAGTACTGTAGAGCTCTTTTTTACTTGCACACAATATAGCTGGGTCACCCCGCCTTGCCCATAGGGGTCCACGGCCCTGCAGGTCCCCAACCCAACACACCCCACTCAGCTTTAGGATCTTAGTGAAACATTAATTATGGTTTCAGGTGTGTTAGGCCAAGGCCAGAGTGACAACCCACAGGACAACAGACCCCCTAGGGCCAGGACTGAGCAGCCTAGCAGCTAGGGATTGCCTAAATAGGTATCTCCCCTGATATGGGCATGTTTTCAATACAGACTCCTTTAGTCATACTGTATTCCATATAAGGAATCCAGACCATATGAAAATTGCACAGTATACCCTTAATCTTGTAATAAATCAAATCTAGTGATGCATAACTTGACATTTCTGCTATCCATTGTGGGAAGATAATCAACCTTCCAATTAATGGCAATGCATTTCTTAGCCACTATAAATGCTAGGTTACACAGTTTCTTCTGATAAGTCTCCAGTATCAACATTTCCAAGCTTGGTTGCTTGGAAATGTTGATACTGGAGACTTATCAGAAGAAACTGTGTAACCTAGCATCTATAGCGGCTAAGAAATGCATTTACCAGAATTCAGCCAGCCTTCACAAGACCATAACATATGCAAATATGTCCCCTTTTTGTGTTTTACACCTCCAGCATGAAACAGTGCATGATATTCAGTTTAACTGGCATATAGTTCAATGGATGGTCTTAAACTGCAGTCATGTATGTCTGAAATTATGTTAACACGACGGGGCATTCTAACATATCTGTATCCATTCATCATCATCAATAGTGTCTCCCAGGTCTTCCTCACATATTTTGTCATCAGGAAAAGCCACTATCAACCCTTGATACAGTTTGGAAATCAACTTTAGAGGTTTGTCAGACTATATATAAATGTTTTCAATCTTTTGAAGCTTCTTGCTTGTCCAGTGTTGTTTGCACAGAGAGAATATTGTTGTATCGGCAAATGTTCACCTCAGCGGCGTCACAGACTGGACTTCCCTGGTTGCCTGACCCTGCTGGACCCCCCTGTCACCATCTGATCCTGCTCAGATGAGGCATGATAAAGAAATACCTTGCTGTACATTTATACATGATATTATCCAAGAATAGAATCAATGGTTCACTAACTGAAATGACCATTATTCCCAGATCCCAGACTGTAGCCTACATCAACTCAAGATGGAACTTCGTATCCATTCACTGATTGTTATAATATACTGCAAAATTCACCTGCGCTCCGTAGACTGGTCTTCCCTGGCTGTCTGACCAGGCAGGGACACCTGTCACCATCTAATCCTTCCCGAGTGGCGCAGTGGTCTAAGGCACTGCATCGCAGTGCTAGCTGTGCCACTAGAGATCCTGGTTCGAATCCAGGCTCTGTTGTAGCCGGCCGCGACCGGGAGACCCATGGGGCGGCGCACAATTGGCCCAGCGTCGTCCAGGGTAGGGGAGGGAATGGCCGGCAGGGATGTAGCTCAGTTGGTAGAGCATGGGCAACGCCAGGGTTGTGGGTTTGATTCCCACGGGGGGGCCAGTATGAAAAAAATAAAATAATGTATGCACTAACTGTAAGTCGCTCTGGATAAGAGCGTCTGCTAAATGACTAAAATGTAAGACATGAGGAGCATAATGTTGTACTGACTGTGCACCATGACAGTGAAGCCTGTAGAGCTATTTATACTGTGTCAGTGTGAAAGGTAGGGAATTAGCTAGGGAAACTGACAGATCAATAACGTTACATTGCTATACTGACTAATAGAAACTCACATTACACTGAAGAAACGTCAGAATATATCGGTCTTTTTTTTCTGTCAAATAGCAGTTACCTTGCCAGCTAGATCAGTCAACTGAAGAGTAGCCAGTTTCTGCTCTGCTTGCTTTTACAACTCTGAGAAAAGCGCAAGTACACAGACAGCAGCTGCCTCTATTAATCTCTCCCGTGCTGGTCTTATACACCAGCCTTTCAGAAGCTTTGCCTTCACACAGCCTGTCCGCATGCTCTGTTTTGCCGGAAAACAGCCTACCCGACAGCTCTGCGGCATCCGCATGGTCCTAAAACACATTGGAGCTGTGTTTTGTTTCACAGTACAATTATAAAACTGGGGGGGGTCATGTCCCCCCTGTCCCCAGTGAAAGTTGTGCCCCTGTGATTGGACAAGACTCGAGCAATAGCACCATGATCATTTGGCGGATTTGATTATGCTGAGCCTGGGGCCCTGGGCATAGGCCTGTCACGTCATCGAGCGCAAGTGGGGAGGGAGGCGCACCCTTCTCAAATCGAACAATAATCTGCACCGCTCTGTCACAAGGCAGCATGGTGCATCGTCCAGAAACATACATCACTTTTCCATATAATAAATGTTTCCATATAGTAACTCGTTTTCATTGGGATGACAGATAAAGCGTTTTTAACAAAAGCAATCCCTTTTGCATGGGAAACACGGGATCCTAGTAATAATGGTGCTTTCAAGACAACTGGGAACTCATAAAAAAAAACAAGGTTGAACCATGATGTCAGTGATCTTCAGGTCAGAAAGTCGAGCTCTAGAAAGTGCCCAGAGTTCCCGAATTGGAATTCCGAGATGTATGACCAAAGCGAATTTTGCCAGTCATGGTTCGTTTTTTCCCGAGATTTCTGAGTTCCCAGTGGTTTTGAATGCGGCATTACTACACGTGCTTAATTACGTCACTTTTGTTTAGAGCCGACTTCGCGATGGGCTGTGAACAGCGCACCTGGCTCACTTCCAGGAAGCAGCCCGGTTCCATATCGAACGCTATCAACTTTCAGCAGATGCAAAACACGACTACACGGGCCCCGGACGGGATTAATCGAATCCCCTCTTTGGACGATAACTCCTCCTTTATATTCCAGTACAGGTTTTTTTCTACTCTCGTGAATGACTGAAGGGACCGTGTTTCGTATTGGTTAGACGGACTTTGGTATTACGTTTTGATTCGTCGATCCACATTGCCCGGTGTCCGGGTAAAATGGCGTCGGAAGAACACTGCTCGGTACCACCTCGATGGCGGTCGATATCGTTAACCCACGTAGAGTTCCCTGCTGGTAAGTGTATTGACTAATCATTCTTATTTTACATTTGTCTGATAAATGCTCGATGCTTTGGTAATGTGCAAGATATCGTGGGATGTTTTGCAACTGAATGGGCACGACCGACGTGACCTGCCAAATAGTGAGACAATAAAAAGCGTAGACACAGCTTCGCAGGGAACGTAGCTAACATTAACTGCCAAATAGTGTGACAGTTCCGCATGCGCAGTTGGAAAAATTGTCCACAATGCAAAGATAACTACTTCGAGCTTGCATTGCTACATACAATGTTGCATTTAAATGGTCATGAAACAGCGTATGGCCAGAATAAAATGTAGTTTGCCGCGTATAGTTTCCTACTTGACTAGTTACTGGCCCAGTATAGCCAACTAGTTTTTATTGATCGCAAAGTAGCTAGTTAGCTGAAAGACACTGTACGGTAGTAAGTTGGCTAGTAAAGGTTACGCCTTCCAAGCCTAAAAATGGACAAAACGTATGTGGATAGTGTTACCTTTATCACGCAAATTGATAATTTGTAATGTACACACACTTTGACGTTAGCTAGTTACCTAGTTAGCTAAGTTAGCTCGCTATAGTAGTAACCAACCAACTAGCTAGCTGGCAAACTAACCCTGCACCCGGTGGTATCGATACAAAATGAATCTCATCATGCAATTAAACTAGCTAAATGTATGGTGTTTGAATATTAACTTAACAATTAGCTGTATAAGATCCAGGCATTGAGAATGTAACTGCTGCTTGATGCATGCCCATTCTCCTTCAATCATAACTGATCTGACAGTAAGTGCATTGGAAAGGTAAAGGCATGAGAACTCGCCATAGCATATTCACCTTCCACCTGAGAGTCATAACTAGATAGGTAGCCACCCCACAACCTATATACCCCCATGCCCCGCAGCATGTTCCCCTGAATGTTCAAATTGTCTGTCTTGCAAAGGGATTGTGTATATTGTATTTTTTTACACAAAGGTGATCTGACAGGACAATTGTTGGCCTACACCAGCCTGCTACCAATAGCGATCCTTGTGGGCTTTGTCACCCTCATAGTGTTCAAGCGTGAACTGCACACGGTAAGTAATGTAACCCAGATCCTTGCCCCATATGGGTACTCTATTACAAAAATCCAGAAAGGAGGTCCCAAATGGGGCTATCCAAATCCATGCTGGACTACTAAATGAGGACAGGACACGTGTCACACTCACACATGACGCACGCTAAACCTCTACCTAAAGAAATGCTTGTACAAGGTCATATAGATGAGATTATTATTGGCCATTAATATGAAAGATTAGGGTAATATTGCAAGATACATTACTGTAAGCACATTTCTAAAAGCTGTATCCATTCACAGTGTGGACACCTAATCCTTTTCCCATTCCTCTTTCATAGATCTCCTTCTTTGGTGGGCTCGTACTGAACGAAGGGGTGAACTGGCTGCTGAAGCATATTTTAAGGGAGCCCCGCCCATGTGAAGGTGAGGAAAGTGACAAGCCACTTACTGTAGTGACCTAGTACATACACCAATAATAAGTGTCTGTCTGTGCATCAAATATACACTAGGTCGCGGCCAGACACAGATTTTGTATCTGTCTAACACAGATGAGCCAATGGGTTTTCTATGGTGCCTATATGTTGATGGACAGTGGAGGGAATAGGAAGTATCCACAGTTTTGCCCGTTGTTAAAACATGCGTAACTCACCCGACTGTCCATCAAAAGTTCAATTAAACTTTTGATGGACAATAATGGACATTGACGAAGGCATTTGTGTTTTTCATCCGTTTAATATCATCCATATGTCTGCCTAAAGCGGCTATTTGTGATGAATTTCATGTCCATTCTCTTCCCCAATCTTTTTCCAGGAGCTCACGCAACCCTGACCACGGAGTATGGGATGCCCTCCAGTCATTCCCAGTTCATCTGGTTTTTTGTTGTTTATTTCTTTCTTTTTCTTTATTTAAGGTGAGTGACTGTTCTCTCCCAGACTATGTTTCGAAAAAATAAATGATAACAATGGTCACGAAAGTGATTATTTTCCATAGTCATTTTGCATACATGACATTTGATGTTGGCTGACGCACTTTGCCCGTGTCTAGAATGCATCAAACGAACAACGCTCGCTGTGTGGAGCTGCTGTGGAGACACATACTGTCCATCACCTTGTTGGGATTGGCCTTATCCGTGTCATACAGCAGGTGAGGGAGGGAGGGAGGACAATGGAGGGGAGGGTGAGACTTAGTGTAAAAATAAAATAATTACCTTTTTTCTTGAGTTGAATGTATTTTTAGAGCATGACACAGTTGCTCAATTTGGTCCTAACTCCTCAAATCATTTTGCCGTTAATAACTGTCGTAACTAGCTCAACCCAAAAATTGCACAAGAATATTTATCAAAACAATGCTCAATGACTAAATTGTGTTTTTTTTCTTCTTCTCAGGGTTTACCTGTTGTACCACACCTGGAGTCAGGTATTCTATGGGGGAGTGACCGGTAGCACCATTGGAGTAGTCTGGTTCGTCTTCACACAGGAGGTGCTGACACCGCTATTCCCCAAGATGGCAGCATGGTAAAGAACCGGGACATCTCTCAGGGGGGCACACAGGCTTAGCAGGAAGTGAGCCATCAGAGCCTGGCACAGATCTGGGCAGAATGCACTGTAGCTACATATTCTCAGTGACTCTGATGTTTTTCATTTGATATGATGTACTTTTTCTATTGTTTCTCCATTTGTAACTTTGTCCCACCTCTCTCCCAAAAAAAAAAAAACCCTGACTGCTGACAGGCCGATATCAGAGTTTTTTCTGGTGAGGGACACAAGCCTGATCCCCAACATCCTGTGGTTTGAGTACACGGTGACCAGATCAGAGGCAAGGTGAGTTATATATTTTAATCACCACATTACGTGGGAAGCCAATCTGTGTAACTCCATATTGAGATGTTTTCAACTATGCTTATCCTCCAGAAACAGACAACGGAAGCTTGGTACAAAACTTCAGTGATCGTAGCAGTTCCTTGGTGAAACTGAGTAAAGGACCACACACGTATGCACACACACACACACTCGCTCATAAAAAAACACACTGGAGAATCATCTTCTGGACTGACCTGGTTGCGATGAAAAAAGGGCCAACCCGTTTACAGGTGGACCAAAAGAGTGCCAGGAATCGGCCCGGAGCCTACAGCCTGAGCAAGTCCGTCCACATGCCTCTCCTTCTTGTACAGCTTGCCCAAATGCTCCCCCGACGCATGCAAGACCGTAAAAGAGACATACTATTTAATGATAAATTAATATATATTTTAACTGTAAACTCACACACACAGACATTAACCGTGTACTGTAAGAAATAGATTTTCAGAAAGCCAACAAAGAGGGCTCTGTCAAGTAACAAAACATTGGCTGGTGTTAATACAGCATGAAATTTGTGATTCTTTTATTTTAGTTTTGGGGTTGCTGGGGGGGTAAATATGAGATTTTTGGTAAACCCTTTTTTAAATCTTTTTTTTTGAATGACAGAAAATGTAACTATTTTTAAAACTCTGGTAAAACATGTAATATATAAACAAAAATGTGCACTTTGTTAAAATTATAGAAAAAGGTGGTGGTGGGGGGGGAAGTTTAACACTATTTACATTTGAAAGACCCCCGTTTCCCCCTCTGATACCTCTTGCCTCTGTCACTGCATATGACTGTCAGCCCAATGTATTCGGTTCCAAAATGGACTTGCAGGCGTTTAAGCCCTCACATACTGTACAAGTGTACCTTCTGTACAACTTGAGCATCGAGGTCTGGATTTCTGTTTGAGATGATGCAGAAGAAGAGAAACGAGCCATAACACAAGGGGCTGTATTCTTTTCCCGCTCCTCTTCCACAAAGGGAGTGAAGGAGTGTTTTCTGAACCCCTTTCTCCCTGTATGTCTGACAGGAGCAGAAACCTGGGACTTGTATTTATTTATTATTATATTATTTGCGGTTCTAGAGAACATGAAACAGTGGCTTAACACTTGTCTTTCTTAACTTTTTCTTTTTACCTGCCTTTTCAAAACAACATTCCATATCATCTGGTGAAAAAACAAATGATATGACTGCTGAGGGGACCCGTTTTATTTTGATTTTTTAACCTCAGGTCAATCTGTAGCATGTGATAATGCTGTGTTTGTCGTAAATGCAAGAGCTTATGTTTGAGGCTGTCTGGTGAGGGTTAAAAGTTGATTTGGAACTGTCATGTCATTAGCTCCATAAAGGGAAGTAGTTCTCTTAGATGATCATTTTGTGTAACCCATATCAGGCTGAATAAAGTGTTTATCTACAATTGTATGCTTTTTTCCCCCCTTCCAATCCTTCAGTGAATAATAGTAAATTAAAAAGGTGGTCCATGTAAGAATCATTAGGAAATCCTGGAGGTCATTTTGGATTATTTGGACATTTAGGTAGAACCTACCTGCACAGAGATCATATACAAGCATGTCACAGAAATACAAATATTCAACTCCTGTTAACATGACTATGTTCAGGAGATATGCACTGTAAGAAACCACATTATGGCTGTTAGACCAGGGGTTGTTTGCGGCCCAATCATCTACTATGCCAATCAAATTCAAATCCCCCAGTGAACAATTTGCATGAATCAAACCTGAATTGCACCTTGCCTGTTATCAAATTTGCACACTATAAAATGATCATGGTCTTCCCATCTTGATGTGATGTGTCAAGGGGTGAAGAGGTTGGCAGGGTGGGCTGTTTCCCAAAAGCATCGTAGCATTAAGATCACATCTTTCGTCCATCTTAATTCCATTTAAACTAAATGAGCTTAGTGCTACAATGGTTTTGGGGAACTCAGCCCTAGTTGTCAATGTATCAATTTACTTGGACATGTCATCATGAATGATATTTATTCTGTCGTTGTTTTTCTCATGTGTATTTGTGTAATGAAGAACAAATCCCTGAGTCGGAGTACTAAATGTCAGGCCCACTTTTCTATCAATTAGGTCCACTTCTCAGCAGATTTGACTTTTCGTAGCAGGTTCAGCGAACTTACGCAGCAGGTTAGGAGAATTAACGTAGCAGGTTAGGATAATTAGGTTAAGGTTAGGAAAAGGGTTAGGGTTAGCTAAAATACAATAAATGTCAACTTTTGACCTTAATTTGACAAAAGCTGGAGCCCTCATAGCCATGACCAGCATGACCATGAACAGGGCGTAAAATGAACTTTTTGGTCCACCAGCCACTGTTTCTGCTAAAATTACACCAACAAAACACAAAACAAATTTATGAGCATGCTTTGTAATGTTTCTAAAACAAATGTATTACTAGTAAGACGTAATGTGGTATATTGTTTAATTTCATAAACATTTTTGTGACCGGAGTCTTTTAACCAAAATATCACAGATGAGACAAAAATTGCGGGAGTTTACCGTGGTAACGTGACTTGAGTCATGTTTGTGCCTGTGAGATTCTGACTAGTATATGGGTTGCTTCTCTTCCTTAGCAGTTGAAACTCAAACATTGAAAAACAACCTAGGTTTTGAACAAAACAATGTAAATACCCAAGAAACACAAGGACAAAGTCTCAATTCAGTAGACTTTCTTTTCAAGTATACTGAACAAAAATATAAACGCAACATGTAAAGTGTTGGTCCGATGTTTCATGAGCTGAAATAAAAGATCCCAGAAATTTAACATGTGCACAAAAAGTGTATTTCTCTCAAATTTTGTGTACAAATTTGTGTACATCCCTGTTACTGAGCATTTCTCCTTTGCCAAGATAATCCATCCACCTTACAGGTGTGACATATCAAGAAGCTGATTAAACAGCATGATCATTACACAGGTGCACGTTGTGCTGGGGATAATAAAAGGCCACTAAAATGTGCAGTTATGTCACACAACACAATGCCACAGATGTCTCAAATTTTGACATCCGTCCCAGTCTCAAATCTCTGGAAGACTGAAACAGGTTTCCCTCAAGAATTTCCCTGTATTTAGTGCCATCCATCATTCCTTCAATTCTGACCAGTTTCCCAGTCCCTGCCAATGAAAAACATCCCCACAGCATGATGCTGCCACCACCATGCTTCACTTTGGGGATGGTGTTCTCGGGGTGATGAGAGGTGTTGGGTTTGCGCCAGACAAAGCGTTTTCCTTGATGGCCAAAAAGCTCAATGTTTGTCTGACCAGTGTACCTTCTTCCATATGTTTGGGGAGTCTCCCACATGCCTTTTGGTGAATACCAAACGTGTTTGCTTATTCTTTTCTTTAAGCAATGGCTTTTTTTCTGGCCACTCTTCTGTAAAGCCCAGCTCTGTGGAGTGTACGGCTTAAAGTGGTCCTATGGACAGATACTCCAATCTCCACTGTGGAGCTTTGCAGGGTTATCTTTGGATTCTTTGTTGCCTCTCTGATTAATGCCCTCCTTGCCTGGTCCGTGAGTTTTGGTGGGCGGCCCTCTCTTGGCAGGTTTGTTGTGGTGCCATATTCTTTCCATTTTTTAATAATGGATTTAATGGTGCTCCGTGGGATGTTCAAATTGCTTGGTGGTGCCCCTTGCTTAGGGGTGTTGCAGACTCTGGGGCCTTTCAGAACAGGTGTATATATATACTGAGATCATGTGACAGATCATGTGACACTTAGATTGCACACAGGTGGACTTTATTTAACTAATTATGTGACTTCTGAAGGTAATTGGTTGCACCAGATCTTATTTAGGGGCTTCATAGCAAAGGGGGTGAATACATATTCACACTCCACTTTTCTGTTATTTATTGCTTAGAATTTTTTTGAAACAAGTTCTTTTTTTCATATCACGTCACCAATTTGGACTATTTTGTGTATGTCCATTACATGAAATCCAAATAAAAATCCATTTAAATTACAGGTTGTAATGCAACAAAATAGGAAAAACGGCAAGGGGGATGAATACTTTTGCAAGGCACTGTATTTGTAATTTTTATTTATTTTATTTAACCTTTAGTTAACTAGGCAAGCCAGTTAAGAACAAATTCTTATTTACAATGACGGCCTACACCGGCCAAACCTGGACGACGCTGGGCCAATTGTGCGACGCCCAATGGGACTCCCAATCACGGCCGCCTCAAGTAGTGACGCACCTCAAGCACTGAGATGCAGTGCCTTAGTTTCCTCTCCTATCAGCTTCAGGCACATGTTCTGGAAGAAGAACGGGTTTCTCTCTCATCTTGTACAGGAGGGTAGCTGCTGCTGGTCTTGTTGTGAGAGTAATTTATTCCACTTACAGCGCCCTCTGCTCGTGGTCCTTTGTTGGAGTGGTGTGTTGTTGTGTGTGGTGTTTGCCTTGACTCGTAGCTTACCTCATAGTCGACCAGACGATGTGGGGGGCGAGTCTAATGGCGGGGATGAACCACAACTTGTGGAGGATCTTCTCTGGTGACTGGCATCCTTGGACTCTGGCAGTTACTGCATCCGGCTCGAAAGACCATGAAAAATATGGGTTGTTTATGAATTCAAAGGACCAATAAAAAGGGATAAAAAACATAGGTGCTGGATTTTAGACCGGTAGCAACCACCACTGGGTGTTCATTCAGAACACAAGGAAGCATTAGTTCCAGTTCAAGGGTTTCAAGAAGATCCACACACACATATACAAAACCACTTTCTCTGATACTAATTGTGGTTCTGTGAAGAAGAGGATAACTTAGGCTATAGCACAGTATGTGAAAAATATGCCTATTTGCATGTCAACAAACTAAACAGGCTATGTGGACCCAAACACATGCTAGATGCACAAAGAAACAATAGCAATGTAGAAATATCTACACATTATAAAATATTTTCGATCTACAACCGAAAATAGCCTAGCACCACAGACAAATGTTAACAAATGCTAATCGCTAATAAGCATGCTAAATAGTAATGGTACATATTTACAACAGACACTATTTAACTATTTAACAAAAAAACATCAGGATTTGGCAGTTACATTTACCTGCACGCACAATAAAACATCAGAAAGAAAAGCTAAGGAGGTAGACTAAGCAGGAGAGAAAAACATGTTGGTCATCAGAGTGGAAACTACAGGCTGCCTGAGGCCCTGCCTGGTCGGGTATTACAGTAAGTCCCGGGAAAAAAGGCTGCTGATTGGCTAATAAAATTATGATGATTGACGTGACCTTATTTCATTAAGAAAACCAAAAGAAAGTTGGGGTCTTGGAAAGGAGATGAGCTGGGGCCATTTTTACAGATACAAACAGACAACACAACCGTGGTTGCATACATCAACCTCTCCAGAGGCCCTCTTCCTTCAGACTGGAGGATACATCCCACAGTAGTGGAGATGATCTGGGCATGATTCGGAACGGCCATCTGCGATTTGTTCGCATCGCAAGACTCAACCCATTGTCCTATTTGGTTCTCCATAAAGGGTGCAGCAGGCCCACTCGGGGTCGACACCGTATTACACAGATGGCCAAGGGGCTGCTGTATTCATTTCCACCAATTCCCTTGCTCCCTCAGGTCTTGAGGAAGATCAGTCTTGAGAGCGCGTCATTTCTACTTGTTGCTCCACATTGGCCATAGCATCACTGGTTTTCAGACCTTGTACAGCTGACAACCTCCCAACTATGTTCACTCCCTCTTTGAGCGGACTTCCTGTCACAAGCGAACGGCAAGCTTTGGCACCACAAACCCAGCATACTGAAGTTGTGAGTGTGGCCCCTGAACTTGACCGCCTTGTACATGCAGGGTTGCCCTCCTTGGTAATTGATACAAGTCAGGCACTCAGGGCATCCTCAATGTGAACGCTGTATTCCTAAAAGTGGAATGTGTTCAGGAAGTGGTGTGTTGATCATGCAGAATCACCATATTCCTGCGCAACTTCGCTTTTTTTTACTTTTCTCCAGGAGCTTATGGCTGCAGGGATATCCCCATCTACATTGAAAGTGTATATGGCAGCCATCACCATTTGAGCTCCTGTCTTCACTTGAGCTATGTGAGTGCTCAGTCCAAGACTGCCTTTCCATTAGCTATTGTTTCAACCAAGCATGTTGGAGAATTATATGTGCTTTCTACCAATCCTTCACGCCTCACTTTAGCAGAAGATGGATCTAATAAATGTATACATACAGTGGGGAAAAAAAGTATTTAGTCAGCCACCAATTGTGCAAGTTCTCCCACTTAAAAAGATGAGAGAGGCCTGTAATTTTCATCATAGGTACACGTCAACTATGACAGACATATTGAGATTTTTTTTCTCCAGAAAATCACATTGTAGGATTTGTAATGAATTTATTTGCAAATTATGGTGGAAAATAAGTATTTGGTCACCTACAAACAAGCAAGATTGCTGGCTCTCACAGACCTGTAACTTCTTCTTTAAGAGGCTCCTCTGTCCTCCACTCGTTACCTGTATTAATGGCACCTGTTTGAACTTGTTATCAGTATAAAATACACCTGTCCACAACCTCAAACAGTCACACTCCAAACTCCACTATGGCCAAGACCAAAGAGCTGTCAAAGGACACCAGAAACAAAATTGTAGACCTGCACCAGGCTGGGAAGACTGAATCTGCAATAGGTAAGCAGCTTGGTTTGAAGAAATCAACTGTGGGAGCAATTTTTAGGAAATGGAAGACATACAAGACCACTGATAATCTCCCTCGATCTGGGGCTCCACGCAAGATCTCACCCCGTGGGGTCAAAATGATCACAAGAACGGTGAGCAAAAATCCCAGAACCACACGGGGAGACCTAGTGAATGACCTGCAGAGAGCTGGGACCAAAGTAACAAAGCCTACCATCAGTAACACACTACGCCGCCAGGGACTCAAATCCTGCAGTGCCAGACGTGTCCCCCTGCTTAAGCCAGTACATGTCCAGGCCCGTCTGAAGTTTGCTAGAGTGCATTTGGATGATCCAGAAGAGGATTGGGAGAATGTCATATGGTCAGATGAAACCAAAATATAACTTTTTGGTAAAAACTCAACTCGTCGTGTTTGGAGGACAAAGAATGCTGAGTTGCATCCAAAGAACACCATACCTACTGTGAAGCATGGGGGTGGAAACATCATGCTTTGGGGCTGTTTTTCTGCAAAGGGACCAGGACGACTGATCCGTGTAAAGGAAAGAATGAATGGGGCCATGTATCGTGAGATTTTGAGTGAAAACCTCCTTCCATCAGCAAGGGCATTGAAGATGAAACGTGGCTGGGTCTTTCAGCATGACAATGATCCCAAACACACCGCCCAGGCAACGAAGGAGTGGCTTCGTAAGAAGCATTTCAAGGTCCTGGAGTGGCCTAGCCAGTCTCCAGATCTCAACCCCATAGAAAATCTTTGGAGGGAGTTGAAAGTCCGTGTTGCCCAGCGACAGCCCCAAAACATCACTGCTCTAGAGGAGATCTGCATGGAGGAATGGGCCAAAATACCAGCAACAGTGTGTGAAATCCTTGTGAAGACTTACAGAAAACGTTTGACCTGTGTCATTGCCAACAAAGGGTATATAACAAAGTATTGAGAAACTTTTGTTATTGACCAAATACTTATTTTCCACCATAATTTGCAAATAAATTCATAAAAAATCCTACAATGTGATTTTCTGGATTTTTTTTATTCTCATTTTGTCTGTCATAGTTGACGTGTACCTATGATGAAAATTACAGGCCTCTCTCATCTTTTTAAGTGGGAGAACTTGCACAATTGGTGGCTGATTAAATACTTTTTTTCCCCACTGTACATGGCCTTGGCTATAACGGAGGAAAATTCTCTTGAGAGATAATACGGTCTGCATTTGATTGTGAGGTATTCCCTAACCCTAACCCTAACCCTAGGTCGGGTGAACAAAAGGACTTGAGTTCCTGTATGTTACTACAATTACACCATAAGTCGTTAATCATGAAACACACACCTCCGCCGTTCTGCTTCCCAGAGAAATATTTATTCCTATCTGTGCGATGAACTGAGAATCCCTCTAGCTGGACCGGTTCTGACAGAGTATCTGGAGAGAGCCATGTTTCCGTGAAACAAAGTATGTTACAGGCCCTGATGTCTCTCTGGAAAGAAATCCTTGCCCTGAGCTCATCAACTTTGTTATCCAAAGACTGAACATTAGCGGTGGGTGGTGTGCGCGTCTCCTAAGTTGAACCAGCAGGCTGCCTCGAGTGCCTCTCCTCCGCCGGCGATGTTTTGGGTCGGCCGCTGGAATCAGTTAAATTGCTCTGGGGAGAGCGAACAAAGGATCTGCTTCGGGGAAGTCGTATTCCTGGTCGTAATGCTGGTAGTTCTGGTGAGTTACTGCCGCTCTGATATCCAATAGTTCTTCCCGGCTGTATGTAATGACACAAAATATAAAAAAACTGAATTCCGCAAGTTTCCTAAGAGCTAGTCACGAGGCCGCCATCTCCGTCGGCGCCAGAATGCTAATGTGCAGTTTTATCACACAACACAATGCAACAGATGTCTCAAATTTTGAGGGAGCATGCAATTGGCATGCTGACTGCATGCCTGTCCACCAGAGCTGTTGCCAGATAATTGAATGTTAATTTCTCTACCATACAATGTCGCTTTAGAGAATTTGGCAGTATGTCCAACCAGCCTCATAACTGTAGACCATGTGTAACCATGCCAGCCCAGGACCTCCACATCCAGTTTCTTCACCTGCAGGATCATCTGAGACCAGCCCGCTGGACAGCTGATTAAACTGTGGATTTGCACAACCAAAGAATTTCTGCACATAATGAATCCCGGTTTCAACTGTACCGGGCAGTATGGCGTTGTGTGTGCGAGCGATATGCTGATGTCAACATTGTGAACAGGGTGCCCCATGGTGGCGGTGGCTACGGAAAACGAACACAATTTCATTTTATCAATGGCGATTTGAATGCACAGAGATACCGTGACGAGATCCTTAGGCCCATTGTCGTGCCATTCATCCGCCGCCATCACCTCATGTTTCAGCATGATAATGCATGGCCCCATGTTGCAAGGATCTGTACACAATTCCTGGAATGTCCCAGTTCTTCAATAGCCTGCATACTCACCAGACATGTCACCCATTGAGCATGTTTGGAATGCTCTGGATCAACGTGTACGACAGCGCGTTTCAGTTCCCGCCAATATCCAGCAACTTCGCACAGCCATTGAAGAGGAGTGGGACAACATTCCACAGGCCACAATCCACAGCCTGACCAACTCTATGCGATGGAGATGTGTCACGCTGCATGAGGCAAATGGTGGTCACACCAGATACTGACTGGTTTTCTGATCTATGCCCATACTTTAAAAAAAAGTTATCTGTAACCAACATATGCATATCTACATTCCCAGTCATGTGAAATCCATAGATTAGGGTCTAATGCATTCATTTCAATTGATTGATTTCCTTATATGAACTGTAACTCAGTAAAATCGTTGAAATTGTTGCATGTTGCGTTTATATTTTTGTTCGGTGTAGATTGTGTAACTCATTTAGGTGTGAATTTAGTTGTGTTATGATCCATTTAGGCTATTGGCAACTGAAAACGATAGTCAATATAGCATTACAAAGAGCATTAACATTTTGGCTAACTTTAGAGTTTTGAGTAATGAGTCATGAAGCTGTTGGAAATGGCCATCTCTTAGCATCGTTCTCTTAAATTAAAGTCGCTAAATTCCTTTCTCTCATCAAAGCTTTCAGGTGAATGGCTAAAGAACAAGGAATCAGGAAAGGTGGTATCAGAATTTGAAAGTTTTCGCAAATGAGTACAGCCACAGTGTTTGCAATGTCACTTTTACAGGTAAGCTTACTAAAGTAACAGATTATATTGCTTACGCTAACCTTAAAAACAACAAAGCTTGAAGCTTGCAATAGAATCTACATACTATAAATGTTGATGATACAAATTTGATGATACAAAAAATATAAATTGTGTTTATTTGTAATGCTGTGTCCCAAGGCTGATCCAAGCAACAAACTTATTTTTGTCCGCGAGCATTACTGCCAATGATGAGTCCCGTCAGCTGTACCCTAAGGAGTATAACCTGGTCATTCTGTGGCTGTCCCTGAATACAGGTGCTTAACGGCACAAGCTTCCTGGATCCCCAGGAATATTTTGGCTATGTGCAGAGATCCAATGTCTTCAACAGAGGTGTGGGTGAGTGTACATTTGTGTTTAAGAGGCCAGGGAGGGATAGGCTTACATGGAAAGAGGGAACGGGGTTGTATTGATATGGAAAGACAAGTTGAATATAAATATCCTCTACATATAAGACTGTCATGTTTCTTTAACTTCTTCCTTTGTTATTTTCTGTTGTTAACTCTATTCCTCCATCCTCATCATATACAATACCTATCAAATGTTTGGACACACCTACTCATTCCAGGGTTTTTCTTTATTTTTACTATTTTCTATGTTGTAGAATAATAGTGAAGACATCAAAACTATGAAATAACACATATGGAATCATGTAGTAACCAAAAAAGTGTTGAAATAATTCAAATATTTTATATTTGAGATTCTTCAAAGTAGCCACCCTTTGCCTTGATAACAGCTTTGCACACTCTTGGCATTCTCTCAACCAGCTTCACCTGGAATGCTTTTCCAATAGTCTTGAAGGTGTTCCCACATCTGGCTGCTTTTCCTTCACTCTGCCGTCCGACTCATCCCAAACCATCTCAATTGGGTTCAGGTTGGGGATTGTGGAGGCCAGGTCATCTAATGCAGCACTCCATCACTCTCCTTCTTGGTAAAATAGCCCTTACACAGCCTGGAGGTGTGTTGGGTCAAAAACAAATGATAGTCCCACTAAGCCCAAACTAGATGGAATGGCGTATTGCTGCAGAATGCTGTGGTAGCCATGCTGGTTAAGTGTGCCTTGAATTCTAAATATATCACAGACAGTGTCACCAGCAAAGCACCCCCACACCATAACACCTCCTCCTCCAAGCTTTACGGTGGGAACTACAAATGACGAGATCATCCGTTCACCCACACCCAAATTTGGACTCAAGACCAAAGGACACATTTCCACCGGTCTAATGTCCATTGCTCGTGTTTCTTGGCCCAAGCAGGACTCTTCTTCCTATTGGTGTCCTTTAGTAGTGGTTTCTTTGCAGCAATTCAACCATGAAGGCCTGATTCACACAGTCCCCTCTGAACAGTTGATGTTGAGATGTGTCTGTTACTTGAAATCCGTGAAGCATTTATTTGGGCTGCAATTTCTGAGGCTGGTAACTCTAATGAACTTATCCTCTGCAGTAGAGGTAACTCTGGGTCTTCCATTCCTGTGGTGGTCCTCATGAGAGCCAGTTTCATCATAGTGCTTGATGGTTTTGCGACAGTCCATCAAAGATCTTGACATTTTCTGTATCGACTGACCCCCCCCCCCCCCCTGTACTTTTGACTTCTTCACTATTATTCTACAATGTAGAAAATAGTAAAAATAAAGAAAAACCCTTGAATGAGTAGGTGTGTCCAAACTTTGGACTGGTACTGTATATGGACGTATATATTGTATTGTTATGCTGTACTGTATGTAACATATTGTATTGTTTTACACTGTTAGTGTGTTGAGAATTTTAAATGCACTTTATTTAAAGCTTGGTGTGATGTATTTCTCTGCTGCCCTTCAGGCCAGTGCCCCACCCTGAACCTGATGATAAGGACCCGGGGCAATGTGACGTCGGTGAACAAGTTGGCGGTGCACTGTGACGTGGTGAGCTCCCTGGTCAGCACCATGAGGGAGTACAGGGCTATCTGTTTGCTCAAAGGTAGCTCCATACTCCCACCCCTCCTCATCCCACAGGTCTCATACTCCCCAACCTGAACTTCATTATAATAGGCATTTGAAGGATGTTGTGGAAATTCTAACCAATAAGGAGAGACTTTGTTAATTCATCAACCAATCAATACTTTATTATACGAATTGCAATAAGGAAGCTGGTCGACCCCACACTCTTGAGCATGAGACCGAGGCTTAAAATCATACAGAGAATACAGGGCCTTGTATAGCAGACCTAGAAATGCTTAGTCATGGCTGGTTCCACCCCTCCCCGGAAGATCAGGGCATCATAAGCTATCTTGTTTTCTTCTTGTGGCCAGGTGTATTGGGTGTGTGAGGTTATAGCCACAAACAAGTGAAAACGGCTGTTCCATTACTCCTTTCTCTACCAAGCTAGCCTCCACAGCTGTGCCCTTGGAAGATACAGTGGGGAGAACAAGTATTTGATACACTGCCGATTTTGCAGGTTTTCCTACTTAACAAAGCATGTAGAGGTCTGTAATGTTTATCATAGGTACACTTCAACTGTGAGAGACGGCATCTAAAACAAAAATCCAGAAAATCACATTGTATGATTTTTAAGTAATTAATTTGCATTGTATTGCATGACATAAGTATTTGATACATCAGAAAAGCAGAACTTAATATTTGGTACAGAAACCTTTGTTTGCAATTACAGAGATCATACGTTTCCTGTAGGTCTTGACCAGGTTTGCACACACTGCAGCAGGGATTTTGGAACACTCCTCCATACAGACCTTCTCCAGATCCTTCAGGTTTCGGGGCTGTCTCTGGGCAATACGGACTTTCAGCTCCCTCCAAAGATTTTCTATTGGGTTCAGGTCTGGAGACTGGCTAGGCCACTCCAGGACCTTGAGATGCTTCTTACGGAGCCACTCCTTAGTTGCCCTGGCTGTGTGTTTCGGGTCGTTGTCATGCTGGAAGACCCAGCCACGACCCATCTTCAATGCTCTTACTGAGGGAAGGAGATTGTTGACCAAGATCTCGCGATACATGGCCCCATCCATCCTCCCCTCAATACGGTGCAGTCGTCCTGTCCCCTTTGCAGAAAAGCATCCCCAAAGAATGATGTTTCCACCTCCATGCTTCACGGTTGGGATGGTGTTCTTGGGGTTGTACTCATCCTTCTTCTTCCTCCAAACACGGCAAGTGGAGTTTAGACCAAAAAGCTATATTTTTGTCTCATCAGACCACATGACCTTCTCTCATTCCTCCTCTGGATCATCCAGATGGTCATTGGCAAACTTCAGACGGGCCTGGACATGCGCTGGCTTGGCTTGACCGTCATCTTGAACTTCTTCCATTTTCTAATAATTGCGCCAACAGTTGTTGCCTTCTCACCAAACTGCTTGCCTATTGTCCTGTAGCCCATCCCAGCCTTGTGCAGGTCTACAATTTTATCCCTGATGTCCTTACACAGCTCTTTGGTCTTGGCCATTGTGGAGAGGTTGGAGTCTGTTTGATTGAGTGTGTGGACAGGTGTCTTTTATACAGGTAACGAGTTCAAACAGGTGCAGTTAATACAGGTAATGAGTGGAGAACAGGAGGGCTTCTTAAAGAAAAACTAACAGGTCTGTGAGAGCCGGAATTCTTACTGGTTGGTAGGTGATCAAATACTTATGTCATGCAATAAAATGCAAATTAATTACTTAAAAATCATACAATGTGATTTTCTGGATTTTTGTTTTAGATTCCGTCTCTCACAGTTGAAGTTTACCTATGTTAAAAATTACAGACCTCTACATGTTTTGTAAGTAGGAAAACCTGCAAAATCGGCAGTGTATCAAATACTTGTTCTCCCCACTGTATGAGAAGAAACAGGATGGGCTGAGACACTGTGGTCACTTCTCAGAGGCTCTTTGTCTTATGCCGTGTGACCAGGTTACTCAGAAGCAAAGAGAAATAGAAACAATACAGGTCTATCTGTTCCTCAAGTTGATCTCTATCTCGAGTGGCAGGTTATCTCTGAGTCGCCCCATGTCCTTGACGATAGGCCCAGACCAGCTGCAGGGAGCAGAAAGAGAGAACCATCCTTTCTCAGAAGCACAGTATTGCAAGTTATGAAAACCTCTTTAACAATGTTTAAGCATATAGTTGTTATCTATCGATATATAGTAAACAGGCAGGTAAATATGTTCATTTCCCCCCTACAATAGGGAGAGTTTGGCGTTTTTAAAAAGTTAAGTTATTCCCTTGTGGAACTATTGGGTAACCAACTAGAGAGGATTTGTGTGACTCCAGTGAGTCTTTATCGACATGCAAATAATTGGAATTTGCGTTGTTTCTTTACTTGTAAATATGACATGGCCAATTGTAAATCTGTCAAATGTTTTGTTTTTATATCAGGTGGCCCATGCATGTGTTATAATTGCCTTGTATACAGGTTTCCTAGTAATTGTATGTAAGCAATACGTCTATATGATATGTTTGTCCCAGGGTTACAACCCAGGCCAGATGAGGGCGGTGAGAACCAGTATGTCCATCATCAGAAACCAGCAGCGCACCCCTAAAATCTGCCTGATACACGGACCCCCAGGAACAGGAAAGAGCAAAACCATTGTGGGCCTGCTGCAAAATCTTTTCTCTGAGGTACGCTGTTTGTCTTGTTTCTGGACATTTCTATTTTTTTCAGCTTGCTCCTGTTCCTTTCCTACTGAACACAACCTTGGCTAAAAGCATTGTTAAATATAAACATTGATATAATTTCCCTGTGTTCCTCTGTATAATCAAAGCACTGATGTCAGAGGACGCAGACGTCCACCAACGCAGAGTGCAGCTAGTTGAGAGCATCAAGAAGATCTCCAAGATGTTGCCCAAACTGCCAGACTGAGCAAATGGTAACCACAGGCTTTCGCCAGCAGGGGCCGCTAGAGGGCTAGCCACCGACCTACAGTTACCAAAACTATTCAAAGCTCTAGTCATACACTTTGGTCTTACTCATAATCAATGTGGACCTCGGCTCAGACATGTGTTAGGAACTGCAAATCCCATTAATATCCTAATACTTGGTTTTGCATTGTTCAGAGTTGTTGTTCATGGTTTCTCTCTTTCATTTCCTCCCTCCCTTATTGGCTGGTGTGTAGTACCATGAGCTGGCAGAGCAAAGTCCAGACTGCTCCGAAAGAGACAGACTCAGCCACGAGCTCAAACAGGTAAGGCACTGTACCACATTACCATTATATGCATACAGATGTTAGCAACTTTGTCATGCGTATAAGGGCTTATCAGATAAGAGGAGAGATATTATTATTCAGAATTGAAGGGGATGTAAAAAAACTGCTTTGGGGAGAGAAATCTCATTAGAAATGCCTCTTTCTCTCAGCTCTCTCGCGTTCTGTTCTATTTCCCGTCTCTCATTTTTTGACCTCTTTCCTCTTCTTCCTTCCCTGTCTTTCTCCCATAGTCTCGCATTAGGAAACAGGAGACCCAGCCCTGTGCCTGGGACATGAACCCTTCAGCTGCGTCATCGTGGACGAGGTCAGAATTTGTAGCTCCTTTAGTTTGGCTGCATTTAAATAGTGTGAAGCAGCAATAGTGTTCTATATACCAATGTGGTCATGGTGATACACGGTGTGCAAGCTTTTGTTCTTGTCCAGTGCTGTAACACACCTGATTCAACGAATTGATGGCTTGATGGTTAGTTGAATAAGGTGTATAGTACTTGATTGGAATAAAAGCTTGCAAGCCCTGTGGAACCCCAGTCTTACCCAGTTTGACTGCATCTCCTCTACTCGCTCTGTATGACTGTGAGGACCAACCACTTGCCTTTGTGTTTGCTGTGTCCCCATGGCACTGTGTGCAGGCAGGGCAGACCACCGAGACGGAGACACTCATTCCCATGCTCTACCGCTGCAAATCCCTCATCCTTGTGGGAGAATCCGATCAGCTGCCCCCTACTGTCATCTCCCAGGTACTGCAGCTCTCACTTTCAGTATGTTGACATGTTGAACATGTCAACATCTCCAAACATGGTCTTACTTTTTTAAAGGAGTAGTTCACCCAAATTGCAAAATAATTGCAGTCTATGGAAACAATGGTCATTTTGTAATTTGGTTGAACTATAAAACGAGAAAATTCCTTAGAATACCAACTCAAAACATTAACATTCTAAATTCCAATACACCTACAAGAGATGCTTACAGTTTAATGATTGTGACTGATAATGAAATAATGACAGTGTGTTCTTCTGGGTGTTTGTTTTTTCCATAGAACTAACTTAATGTAATTGCATTTATATCTATGGTTTTTCCTCTGTCAGAGGGCGAGGGAGTTGAAGTATAGCCAGTTTCTGAAGGCTCCGCTGGTGACCAACCTGCATCACTCCTGTAAGGAGAACAAGATGCCCAGCTCAGTGGGCTTCCTCAGCTACCAGTACCGCATGCACCCCAACATCTGCGAGTTCCCTTCCAAGCACATCTACCACAAGTCCCTCAAAACCGACAAGTAGGCTCCCTCCCCCTCCCTCCCCGTTTAAACACACTGTCATTATTCGATAGGAACTAATGGTGTAGTTATTGTCGTGTTTTCATGTTCCTAAAGCTTGAGAGATTCTAAACCATATGTAATTCCAATGTAGTGCACCTGTCATTGAGTAAAAGTGTTGTGTTAACCACTAAGTGTTAAAAAACATTAAGGGGTAAACAATAGTAAGTGTTACATTTTAAGTGTTCAATAATATTACGTGTTAAAAAAAACATTCAGTGTTACAAAAATAAGTGTTAAGAAATTAAGTGTTAAAATATTGTGGTAAAAATAACTGTGTTAAATATTAAGTGTTTGTTCCCTTCTTCAGTGAGACCGCAGAGAGAAGGGCGAACTTCGGCTGGCCCATCCAGCCCTACCAGGTGTTTGACGTGAACGACAGCCAGGAGGTCAAGGAGAGAGAGTAAGAAAAGCTCTGGATCATGGTCCTATGAGTTGTCATATTTAGTTCTACTATAGGCCTCACGCTTCATCCCAACCTAGTGTTCTGTGTTTAGGTTGTTTACTCCAGAGTTGCTGTTAAACGTTTTAAAATTAAAAAATAAATGAGTTCTTACTGGATAGGTTGAGGAAGTGTAGTCACGATACCAGAATTTTGACTTCAATAACGATAAAAGGGTTAGCATCACGATACTCAATACCATCACGATACTCTATACCAAAATGACACCTTAACGATACGACAGCAAAAAAAGCTGTATTAGTGTGAGAGTCAGGCGCAGGAGGGTAAATCACTGAATACAGAGTTTATTCCGTAGGACACAGTTACGCTGGATAGCGACAACAAAATACAGGCACACGGGGAACAATATCCCCGGAAATACAAGGTACGGGTAGCTCAACCGAGCTACACTCAACTCACAAATAACAATCACCCACAAGGACAAGGGGGGCAGAAGGAACACTTATACATGTACTAATGAGGGGAATATGAACCAGGTGTGTGTAATTGACAAGACAAGACAAATGGAATGATGCGATATGGAGCGGCAGTGGCTAGAAGGCCAGTGACGACGAACGCCAAAGCCTGCCCGAACAAGGAGGAGAGGCAGCTTCGGAGGAAGTCGTGACAATTAGCCAAAGTCACAGAATGGCACTTGATCCAGACAGATAAACTCAGGAACTGCTCTACTCAATCGTTGGGCACGTTTTGAGTTCAATATCATTACATTTGAAATTTGATGTCAAATTATTCAGACAGCCATGAATGCATTAATGAATCAATTATCCAATCAATTAATTTGACTTTGTTTTTACCAATGTAACTACATAACAACATAATGGTAGTCATTTATTTGAATGGTAAATCTCTATTGATAAACTGGATGAATCAATAATTGATCCCACCCACACACTCCAAGAGGGCAAAGAGATGAGGACTGATCACTGACTCTGTTTGGTTTGTTTTTATTTGTGTGTTTTCAGAGAAAGGGAATGAGAGAAATAGGGAGAAAGAGAGAGATGACTCCTCAGAGTAGTGTAGTTCTCCAAATCTGTCCGGTTTGTGACCAATATCACTGTTTTCACCAGGGAATGCTTAAGAAATATCAAGTAGCAATACGATGCTGTTGTATCATTCATAAGTCAGTAAATTTTATTTTTTATAATAAACTCTATTAATTACCATTATGGCTTGACTGTTATGGCTCATCCTAATATTTATATATTTCTTAATTCTATTCTTTTACTTTTAGATTGTTGTGAATTGTTAGATACTACTGCAATGTTGGCGCTAGGAACACAAGCATTTCGCTACACCCGCAATAACATCTGCTATAAATGTGTATGTGACCAATAACATTTGATTTGATTTGATTTTTGAATGTGTGGATTTGCCCTTGGCCAATCTGTATTCAACTGCCAATCATTGGGATAGTAGTGACAGGGCCTTTTTTTGTAATGGTGGCACAAGTTTACAGTGAGTTTATATTACTGAGAGGTAACCAGGTTAATGCACAGTGCCTGCTACTTCTGGACTATCGTTCATATTCTTTCCATTCATATATTTTCATAATCCTTAAATGTTTTGGTTGTCATTTCATAATTTCTCAATCTCATAATTTCCTTGCCTACTCTGCATTTGTATAGATATGATAATTACTTTATAAAAGCACCAAGACGATGGTCTCGGGTGCTCAATGTTTGATACCTGGTTATTTATTAGTAGTGCAGCCCACCTAACATAATAGCTAATGAATACCTTTAATTTTAAGTGCACACTGCATTCTATTTCGACTTTAAACATATAATATTAAGTGCAAAAGTATACTGAACAAAAATATAAACGCAACATGTAAAGTGTTGGTCCCATGTTTCATGAGCGAAAACAAAATATCCCAGAAATGTGTCACACTCACAAAAATCTAATCAAATTGTATTTGTCACTTGCGCCGAATACAACAGGTGTAGACCTTACCGTGAAATGGTTACTAAGAAGCCCTTAACCAACGATGCAGTTTTAAGAAAAATAAGAGTTAAGAAAATATTTACTAAATAAAATAAACAAATAAAAGAGCAACAACAATAACATGGCTATATACAGGGGGTACCGGTACCGAGTCAATGTGCGGGGGTACAGGTTAGTTGAGATAATTGAGGTAATATGTACAGTTGAAGTCGGAAGTTTACATACACCTTAGCCAAATACATTTAAACTCAGTTTTTCACAATTCCTGACATTTAATCCTAGTAAATATTCCCTGTTTTATGTCAGTTAGGATCACCAATTTATTTTAAGAATGTGAAATGTCAGAATAATAGTAGAGAGAATGATTTATTTAAGCTTTTATTTCTTTCATCACATTCCCAGTGGGTCAGAAGTTTACATACACTCAATTAGTATTTGGTAGCATTGCCTTTAAATTGTTTAATTTGGGTCAAAACATTTCAGGTAGCCTTCAACAAGCTTCCCACAATAAGTTGGGTGAATTTTGGCCCATTCCTCCTGACAGAGCTGGTGTAACGAAGTCAGGTTTGTAGGCCTCCTTGCTCGCACATGCTTTTTCAGTTCTGCCCACAAATGTTCCATAGGATTGAGGTCAGGGCTTTGTGATGGCCACTCCAATATCTTGACTTTGTTGTCCTTAAGCCATTTTGCCACAACTTTGGAAGTATGCTTGGGGTCATTGTCCATTTGGAAGACTCATTTGCGACCAAGCTTTAACTTCCTGACTGATGTCTTGAGATGTTGCTTCAATATATCCACCTACTTTATTTTTTATTATATTATTATTATTACTTTTCCTTCATCATGATGCCAATTTCTAGGGCCTTCCTCTGACACCGCCTGGAGGTCCTGGATGGCAGGAAGCTTAGCCCCAGTGATGTACTGGGCCGTATGCACTACCCTCTGTAGCGCCTTGCGGTCAGAGGCCGAGCAGTTGCCATACCAGACGGTGATGCACCAGTAAGGATGCTCTCGATGGTGGAGCTGTATAACTTTTTGAGGATCTGAGGACCAATGCTAGGTCTTTTCAGTCTCCTGAGGGGGAATAGGCATTGTTGTGCCCTCCTCACGACTGTCTTGGTGTGTTTGGACCATGATAGTTTGTTGGTGATGTGGATACCAAGAAACGTGAAGCTCTCAACCTGCTCCACCACAGCCCCGTCAATGAGAATGGGGGCGTACTCGGCCCTCCTTTTTCTGTAGTCCACAATCATCTCCTTTGTCTTGATCACGTTGAGGGAGAGGTTATTGTGCTGGCACCACACTGCCAGGTCTCTAACCTCCTCCCTATAGGCTGTCTCATTGTTGTCGGTGATCAGGCCTACCACTGTTGTGTCGTCGGCAAATTTAATGATGGTGTTGGAGTCGTGCTTGGCCACGCAGTCATGGGTGAACAGGGAGTACAGGAGGGGACTAAGCACGCACCCCTGAGGGGCCCCGGTGTTGAGGATCAGCGTGGCAGATGTGTTGTTGCCTACCCTTACCACCTGGGGGCGACCCGTCAGGAAGTCCAGGATCCAGTTGCAGAGGGAGGTGTATAGTCCCAGGGTCCTTAGCTTAGTGATGAGCTTTGAGGCACCATGGTGTTAAACGCTGAGCTGTAGTTAATGAAAACCATTCTCACGTATGTGTTCCTTTTGACCAGGTGTGAAAGGGCAGTGTGGAATGCAATAGAGATTGTGTCATCTGTAGATCTGTTGGGGCGGTATGCAAATTGGAGTGGGTCTAGGGTTTCTGGGCTGATGGTGTTGATGTGAGCCATGACCAGCCTTTCAAAGCACTTCATGGCTACAGACGTGAGTGCTATGGGTCGGTAGTCATTTAGGCAGGTTACCTTAGTGTTCTTGGGCACAGGGACAATGGTAGTCTGCTTGAAACATGTAGGTATTACAGACTCGGCCAGGGACAGGTTGAAAATGTCAGTGAAGACACTTGCCAGTTGGTCAGCGCATGCTCGGAGTACATGTTCTGGTAATCCATCTGGCCATGCGGCCTTGTGAATGTTGACCTGTGTAAAGGTCTTACTCACATCGGCTATGGCGAGCGTGATCACACATTAGTCCGGAACAGCTGGTGCTCTCATGCATGCTTCAGTGTTGCTTGCCTCGAAGTGTGCATAGAAGTCATTTAGCTCATCTGGTATGCTCTTGTCACTGGGCAGCTCGCGGCTGGGCTTCCATTGTAGTCCGTAATAGTTTGCAAGCCCTGCCACATCCGACGAGCGTCGGAGCCGGTATAGTAGGATTCAATCTTATGCCTGTATTGATTCTTTGCCTGTTTGATGGTTCGTCAGAGGGCATAGCGGGATTTCTTATACAGTGAGGGAAAAAAGTATTTGATCCCCTGCTGATTTTGTACGTTTGCCCACTGACAAAGACATGATCAGTCTATAATTTTAATGGTAGGTTTATTTGAACAGTGAGAGACAGAATAAAATCTAAAATGACCATGGTCAACATTGTATGGTTTGTTTTTCTGAACTACTGCCAAAAGAGGTGAAAATAAAAGGTACATTTTGT